GGGCGCTCGCCCTCTAGTGGGAACCCGGTGGAAATGCCCCCGCAGCCCCGGGCACTGGAAGCTAGTCTTGTGAGAACAGAGGCGCTCAGGCCTCGCCACGGCTTCTCCCACCCATGACGGACACGTGGTCGCAAGGACGCCAAGTAGGACAGCACAGGCCCCTAGCAGGGACATTTTTTTAACCCTCACCTGAGGATATGTTTCCCGTTGCTTTTCAGAGAGAGGGGAAGGGGGGAGAGAGAAACATCGATGTGAGAGACGCATCGACTGGTTGCCTCCCATACGCGTCCCGACCCTGGCTGGGGCTGGAGATCGAGCCTGCAACATGCCCTTGCCTGGAATCGAACCCGGGACCCTTCAGTCTGCAGGCCGACACTCTAACCACTGAGCCAAACTGGCCAGGGCTGGGCACTTCCTCGGTACGAGAAACCATAAAGGAAAAGCCAGGAGGAGTCAGCAGCACAGGCTGGCTCAGGGCTGGTGCGAGGTGGAAGCTAGACCTGTTTTTTTCCTACACAATTTCTTACAGAAACTTCACTTTAAATCTTTAAAAATAGCCCTGGCGGGGTGGCTCAGTTGGGTGGGGTGTCGTCCCGTGCACCAAAAGGTCGTGGGTTTGATTCCTGCTCAGGGCACATACCTAGGCTGCGGGTTCCTTCTATATGGGAGGCAACTAATCAATGTCTCTCTCTCTTCCCCTTTCTCTAAAATCAGTAAAAACACATTCTCGGGTGAGGGTTAAAAACAATCCTTAAAAACACTGGCACATGTGCCCCCAGCCCTAATCTCTGCTGGAGAAAACAAGCGATGCGATGCTCCTGCGTCTGGACACACCCTCTCGCCCAGGAGCAGGTCTCCCTCCCTCCACGCAGGACACGCTCCACCCACCGCTGCGCGTCACACCCGTCTTTCCTCGCGCCTCCCGCCAGATCCAAGGCCGCGCACCCTCCTGGCCGGGCCGGTGCCGGAACCTCCTGCAGGCTTGGTATCTGCGGAGTTCTGATCCCACTGTCCCTACAGCACCTGGTGCCCTACCGCCCACCTGTCCACTAGGATACACACAAGTCACCGAGCTGCAGGTCGCAGCTTCAGAAAAGTCACCAACAAGTTGATGCAAACAGAACAGCCCGAGGGACCCCAAGCTTTGCTCAGCACAGCTCAGGGCCACCAGGACCCTGGTCACCCTCTGCACTCCGCTGGCCGCTGTCCTCCAGACCCAGCAGTCACTAACAAGTCCGTGCAAAACGGTGGCTGTTTCAAATACATACTCGTCAAGACGCAGACCATTTCCCTACGAAGCACATTCAATATTCTTTTTGAATAAAAAGTAATAAAAAATGGAAGGGAAGTGAGGAGGAGTTGCTCTCATGGGACACCCTCAGACCAGCCGTGAGCACAGCAGGGACCAGGGTCCTTCTGGGGCTGTGTCACCCCCGCTCGGACCAGAAGTTTGTGGGGCCTGTCCTGCCACTCGGCCAGCAGCTGGGGTCCCACCCAACCACAGCAGGAGGGCAGAGCGGCAGAAAGAAGGAGCCAGTCACAGAAAAGGAACTAAAACCAGCCACACAGTTCACACGGGCGTGCTGGACTGCATGCGCCGCGCCACAGTTCACCCACGCGGCCCCGACACGCTCAGACCCCGCGTTCGGGAAGGCGGCTGCATCGTGACAGCCGAGCTGAGCAGAAGCCCCGGCGCCTCTTACTCACCGTGGTGGTGGTGGTGACCTCCTCCGTGACGACCCTCAGGGTGTCCACCACCGAGATGTAGCCCAGGCGCTTAGCGATGGCCAGGGCCGTGTTGCCATTCTGAGGCGAGGGGGGGGAGAGAGAGAGAGCCGGTGAGCTCACCGCCTGCGTGAGCCAGCGCCTCCACCACGCCAGGCACAGCCGGGGAGTCACTCGTTTCCACCATCACATCTGCATGTGTCTTGGTAACTTCTCCAGCCCAGCAAGGTCACCATGGTAACACAACAAGCTGCATCTGCTCCTTTCCCTAATGAGAAGCACTTGCGGCTTTAACCCCTGGGTGGTCAACCCCGTCGCAGGGCTGCCCTGCGCCCGGAAAGGGAGGCCTCCAACCGCCAGCACAGCCAGGCGCTGGCGGCCCCCAGGGCGGCGGCCCCTGCGGCAGTCAGCCTGAGGACAGCGTGCAGGAGCCCTGTGCAGCTAAGGCACCAGCGAGCAGCTGGGCTCCGCGCAGGCCCTGGGGACCCCGGAATCTACCACGTAGTTTACATTTCAACGGATCCAAGTCCCTGGAGCCAGGTTTAGGCCAGGGGAGGGGGCTGGGCCCAGCTCCAGCCACCTCAGCCAGGCTCTCCCCAGGCCGAGTCCAGCTGGGCCTCCCGCCAGCCGTGGCCCAGCCAGCCCTGGGTCCTGAGGTCGGGGCTCATTTCAGGAGGGGTGGGAACTGTGACACCCTGTTCTGCTCAGTCTGAAACTTCCTGGGCAGAATGACAGACTGAAGCTGTCAGACACGTCGTGAGAGGGCAGGTTCGTCGGGAAAGACAATAATGCCGGGAACATAGAGGCAGCGGGAAAAGGGGAGACCAAGCGTGAGCCGGATGGACTCCGTGGAAGACGCCACAGGCTGAGCCTCCAGGGCTGAGCAGGGCTGTGAGGACAGGACACTGTGGGCGTCATTCACTCGGGTCCCCAGGAGTCGGCGCCGACGCAGGGCACTGCCTGCAGAGGGAGCCCCGCGGTGGTGGCGGGCAGGGGCCGGGCAGCGAGGGGCCTTACCGTGGTGGTGGCGTCGGGGCGCGCTCCATGCTGCAGCAGCACGTTGATGACGTGGGTGTGGCCCTGCTGCGCGGCCTGGTGCAGGGGCGTGTAGCCGTTCTGGAGGCGAGGGCGGGCAGAGGAGGAGGGGAGAAGGCGGTTAGCCTGCGCTCTGCGCTCTGGGGCTCGGTCTTACTTACGACGGCGCTGTTTACGGGGGCGGCCGCCCCAGGAGCCCCGTTCTCGGCAGCAAACACGCCTGCACACCTTCTGCCCCATAAACTAAAGGGAGACTCGCCACCGGGCGTCTCTTACTGTGTCCGGGCAGTTCCATGGAAACCTGAGCCCGAGGCCACGTGTGAGGAGCACCACCCTAGTTCTGCCCCAGGAAAAAGGGGAAATGTTGTCCCCAAAGCCTGCAGAGTGTCACACAGCCTTGCTGTCCCCGGCCACCGTGGCCTCCTAACCGCTGGCCGGGGGCTGGCTTTACGGAAGTCGATCTGAGAGCCCCTCTCCCCGGGAGGACAGGAGGCCCACTTTGAAAAGCAGTCTTTACATTTAGGTTCTTTCACCACCTGGCCTGAGTTTGCTTCCGGACAGGGAGGACCAGCTGAGAGGTGAGCAGGGCCCAGCCTCGCTCCGGACGCTCTGGATGGGCAGACACGTGGCAGAATAAAGGGACTTTTCCCCATTTCACAGATAATAAAACTGTCCTTTCTTCACAGCCACTCTGGAGTCAGATCCCGTGTAGAAGGTCATGACAGCCGCTGGCCAAACGGCCAGGCTACTCTGTCGTCCACCCACCTCCCCTGACAAAAGCTGACGCATCTGTGTCAGACCCACTCGTCTGGGGTCGGAGCTCTGAGTAACTGTCCTACTTTAAACCTGTAAGAGCACCTGTCCCTGTGACCCGGTGTCACTGTCGCCTCGTGACCAGCACCAGCTTGCGCCCCCATCTGCATGAGTCTGTGTGCACACAGAACACCACACGCCCCTCCCTGCTGCCACTGTGGCTTTCTGTCCAGGGCTGTACCACGCGTGTGGCACACAGGCTGTCAGTCTGGAGCAGCGTATGACCCAGGAACCCAGGAAACTAAATGGTCACAAAGACGCTGCCCCCAACCAGGTTATCCGTGGGCACTCGAGGAGCATGAAGGAGGTCAGTGTTTTCTCCTAAATGTTGCTCCTTTCCACTGTGTTTACAAATATTGCACCAGCCGAGTCTTGTCACCTCGTCAGCATCGGTAGCACCCACTGATCACCCCTGGGTGCTGATGGGAGGCCCCAAGTCCATGACGCAGAGGAAACACTCCTGTCCTCAGTAGCTCACATTATACTGCGTGGACACCGTGTTTTCCAGGGAAGCCTTAGCCAGCCCCCAGGCTTCTGCAGAACGTTGGCTGAAGCTCCACCCGCCACCCTGGCCCGTCCTGTTGGGAGCCCAGACCCGGCAACCCACCCACAGCCAGCACCTCTAACCTCTGACCCGCCACCATCCCATTTACAAATGGAAACAGCCAAGACCCAGTTCTGCGAAGAGCGGAGTATCCCAACCGTGGCATCTTTCATGAGTTTATCTGAGGCTATAGGCAAATGCTAGCAAACATGGCTTTTCTTACTCGCTGAGAGCCCTTGATCTTTACAGTCCATTTTACAAGAAAACAACCCCTTACATGCTCAAGTGCTAAACTCTCTCTGCAAATTATCATAAAACTACTCAAATGTTTGCCTCAAACTGATGCTACAGGGGTTCATTCTAATTTTAAGGGGCTAATAGTTCCATAAAGCAAGTTCGTTTTTCCAAATTTTTATACCAAGTCATGAAGGCTTGAGTAGTAAACGCAATACTTAGGGTTACATTTTCAAAGCAACCAAGCAATTGTAGTAACTATGGTTACACACGAGATACACGGAAGGAAACACTCTTCTAAAATGTCACTCTATGCGAAAAATCTTCAGTGTGTCTTAAAAGGACCTCCTTTGAGGTGTGTATCTATCATGAAAGATACATTTACTTCCAAAAGCAAATAAAATAGACACCGTTCATTTTTTTAAAGCCTGAAAAGTTAAAATGAGATTTTTCTCTCAATGGAATGTCCATTTGAGTGCAGATCAAACCCCAGGGAAGCAAGTGACTGATCTAGTGGGATGTATGGCTTCCCGATGTTGTAACCACTCAACAACTGTCACTTACAAATGCGTGGTGACGTCACATCAGGTTCTGCCACAGCTCAGGGCCTTGCTGCCTTTCAGGAGCGTCCCTGGGCTCCCGCAGCCGCGTCTGAGCCTGAGGCTCGCGTGCCGACTCGGCAGCAGTGCCACAGCCCGCGCCCGAGCCTTCAGGGGATCTTTCACCTCCGTCTCAACGCCGGTGTCAGCAGAGCTCGAGGCTCCTGGCAGCACCACTCTTGCTGCAGGCGGGTGCCAGGCCCTGCACCTGCCTGGGCGGCTCGGTGGCTGGCTGCTCTCCTTGCACTGAGGGGTCACAGGCTCGGTCCCTGTCAGCGCACATACCTGGGTTCAGTCCTTGCCTGGGGCACACCCTGGAGGCACCAGGCCGATGACTCTCTCCCTCTCCCCCCTCTGCCTTCCTCTCTAGAATCAACGCAGTCACGTCCCCGGGTGAAGATTCAAGGAAAAAGGAAAGAAGTTCTGAATCTCCAACGTTAATAGTGTTTATAATTTAAAAAGTGATTTTCATTTGCTTGTGCCTCTGTACAGGCCTGACTCTGTTTCTGCTTCTAAGAGGAGATGAAGAGACCGACTTCCGGAACCTGCTGTTTCTAAAGAGCAGCGCCTGGAGATGCCGGTGTCCCCCGAAAGGCTCTCACGAGGAGCCCAGAGGCGGGACGTCTGACCCACGCCCCACGCACCCCGCGCATTTCCCTGGAGCTGCGGGGGGCACTGCCCAGGGCAGCAGTGCCTCTGCCGTGGGGTTCTCTCCCCTTGAAGCCAGGTGGTTCCCTGGGGCCATGACGCTCGGCCTCGCCTTGCTGCCCAGGGCCCTTCAGCTGCCCCGGGAGGAACAGGTGGCGCCAAGTCAGCTCCACTCTGTCCATGAGAACTGCCACCCAGGCCTTCCACATGCCCCTTCCTGAGCATGGCCACGGGTACTCCAAACGGGACACAGCCGGCAGGAATGCTGGCACTGTAACTGGTGCGGCCACAGGGTGGGGGCCCTCAAAGTATCACAGGTGGGACTACCACAGGACCCAGCAATCCCACTCTTTGGGTATTTATCCAAAGAAAATGAAAACACCAACAAAAAGATGCCTGCACCAGGTTCACAGCAGCAGCATTCACAACGGTCAAGACATGGAAACAGCGCAAGGGTCCATGAAGGGGTGAACAGATAGAGACGGTGCCCCCCCACGCCACACACGCCACACACACAGATAAGAGAAGAGGCTGGTAGCTGCCAAAGGCAAGGGGTTGGCAGTGGGAGAAAGAGGTAACAGGGGTCAAAAGGTAGAAAGAAAAAACGTTTTAATGAAAAGGAAATGAATTTAAAGGTTCATTGTGTGTCCTGTTTGCTTCTACCTCCTACTATGTAGAGCGAGGGACCCACCCCCGAGGGGCGAGTAGGAGGTGATTAGAACGTACACCACCTCTTAGAACACGTCACCACAAAACACAGACTGAAATAGGTACAACTAATAAAAATGTCGTAGGGTGAATTTCTTTAAAAAGCACTGTTGTTGTTCATAGGACACGGTAATTGTAAAACGTTCGAGTAGTTGGAGGAAACACTGCGGAGGGTGTGGTTCAGATAAGATAAGATTTAAACAGTTAAGGGGCAGAGAAGCTTAGCAGAGGGAAGGCCGTGAGCAAGACGGGGACATAGGAGCTGGGAGGCAGTGAGGAGTTGTAGAGACGCGGTGGGTGTCACCTGGAAGTTACATTAGGTCAGGTCACACTATGGAGGCTGGAAAGTGGGAAAGGGTGACTTGGGGGGACACCTAAGGAGGAGGCAGCAGGCTGCACAGCGAGGAGTAATGTCCGGGGGGCAGGGCGTGAGGCGTGTGCACGAGGCTGCTGCAGTTCAGGCGCACGTGTGGAAGGTGTGACCTGCAGCAGCGGTGCTCACGGCACATCCACGGCAGGTGGGAGCCCTGGCCCCGGCCCGAGCCATGGTGCCTGGGTCTGAGTCCAATTCTGCTGACTCCTACTTTGTGACCTTAAACAGGTTACATGAGCTCAGTGAAACAGTCATGACAATGACATGTGACTTCCAGGTTATCAGGGATTAGGTGACTTCACATACACAGTCACACGTAAGTAACATATATGTGGCCCAGAGCATGCATCTCATGAGTATCAGTTTAAAAAGCAGATGGCACGGGATCTAGGTCCTGGTCTGTACTTCCTTCCACAGGGGAGGGGCCACGGCCAGAGGGGCAGATGTCCCAGCAGGAACCTACATGTGCTGCGGTGATGCCAGCCCGTGTCAGCTCCCTGACTTTACACAGAAGCTCTGAGGCCAACCATGTGGCTGTCAGAGGTGTCAGAAGGAGAAGTCTCAAACCACAGCACATGCCACGTTACAGTCACTCTGGACACTGAAAGAAGAGCAGGCGTGTGCTACGGCGAGAGGACGAGCATCCGCGGGCTGAACCTTTGCCAGAAGAAATGTGTGAGAACCGCACTTACCTTGGTTTTGGCGTTGACGTTGGCTCCGTGCTTCAGAAGGAAGTTGACCATTTTCACATTTCCATAGTGACAGGCCACAATCAAGGGAGTGTAACCAAGCTACAAACAACAACAGACAAGCAAGTGGCCAGTCACTGGTGAGGCCTTGCGGGTGAGAGACACTCTACCTACTGTACAGATATTGCCTAGTGGGTGTGCATCCGTGGACACAAATGTGGGGCAGCAGATGGGGAATATAAGGACCCCATGGCAGCAAAGGAGACCAGGCATGTGGGTCACTAAACTGACAAAGAGCTGAGACAGGGTCACAAATGGTGGGATCTGAAAACAGGGAGGAGAGGAGGCCAGAAAGGGCCCAGCAGAGATGGGAGAAATGCAGCTGAGGTGGGTCTGAGGGGTTCCTGACAAAGTGAGGGCAGAGCCATGTCCATAGCGAGCAGGCAGTGTAGGCTGCAGGGCTGGGATCTCTGCTCTGTCCCTCTTGATGGATTCCAGCTCCGTGGGGACCCATTACCGTCTGTGAGCAGGACAGTTGTAGGGAATCCAGAACAGACTCGTGAGGAGGGGACATGAACTTGGGTGACCCGATGTGGCAGCTGGGAGTCACCCGGGTCAGGACCGGCCACACTTGGCAGGGGCCCCGTACCTTCGTGTGGGCGTCCTGGTCAGCCCCGTGCTTGACGAGCAAGTCAGCCACATTCACCCTGTCCTCCTGGGCGGCCAGGTGTAAGGCCGTGAGTCCACTCTGCAGAGAGAACGGAGGCAGAGGCACACTGGACGGAGCAGATATGCTGCATTGTCCCTAATATCCTGTCTTGAAAAGGTCCTGCAATTACAGCTTCTCCCCAGAAACTGCACTTTGAAATCGAAGACAAAGCCCCCAAGTTACGGTGACTTTCCACCCAGGACAGGTCCTGCTGACTGACAGCAAACCAGCTTCCTACGTTGGGCACCGACATCCGACCTGAGATGTTAAAATAGCACAGGGAAGATGCTTCCCGGCAACAGTCTCTTCAGCCCATCCGGCTCCTGCTGAGTCTACTTACTTACCAAAATAACCTAATGACCACTGAGTCCACTTTACAGCCACAAAACATCACATCGGTGCCAAAAATGCAGTTACAGGAAATGAGTTCGGAATGGTTTCCTCCCCACCACAAAGGCACTGTTTTCCGGGATCCTCTAAATGCTAAAAGCCACCCCATCCTTTCTGTACGGCATCATCAATTGGCCAGTTTTACATAGGATGCTTGACATATATACATCAAGTGATTATTTATTTAGTGGGATGCGCAGCTGAGCACAGTTCAGAATCAGGATGAGGGCCGAGGAAGGAGGCGCGGGGCCGACCCAGCCACGGCGTCGCGCAGCCTCGGCAATGGGCACGTGGCAGCAGGCAGAGGAAGTTTAAAGAGCAGCTTTAAAACCTAAATCACGTGCCTACTTCACAGGTGTTCTCTGGGTGCCACTCGCGTGCCAGGAAGTTTTCCCAGCCCTCCAGAGTCTGCCCCGTGGAGCTGCTCTGCAGCTCGGCCTGTTCCTCCCGCCTCGGCCGCTACTCCCCCGCTGCCGACTGGGCGGCGGATGCATTTTGGAGCCGGCACCACCTCACCCCGGCTCACATCCAGTTCACACCGGCAGGCCTGTCTCTGCAGTCACGTGAGGCCGAGGAAGCTAAGCCGTGTCCTCCAAAGCTCACGCTCTGTAGCCATGCGCCGGTCAGGAACCTGTGCCTGCAGAGAGGACAGTCTCCTGCGGCGCAGGGAAACGGCTTTGTACTTCAGGGCCGGGGCGTCTCATCTCATCTGATTATTCAGTGTGTGTCATGGTTACTCGAGAAGCAATCGCGGGAGAGCATGAACTTACTGACTTCAGCTGGTCTTAAATAGAGAAAGAAGATTCGTGCTTTTCTAAAGCAATGGGGAAATTTGTTGTCGGTTTTGCTTAATACCCGAGGTACTTTTACAGTTGCAGCTGGCTTCAGTGGGTGTACACATGTGACGACAGAAACAGATTAGATAGAGAGGTAGGTAGGCAGATGACAGACGACAGGTGACAGATAGCAGATGATAGTAGCTAGCACATGGAGAGCTGATACACAGGTGCAGAGATAGACATGTACTTGTAAAAATCAACATATTTTTATATTTGAAGGGAATCTTCTCCCCGCGTCCAGATTCTTATTCTACTGCAGTTAATATGCGTGTCCACGAGGGCCATTCTCTGGAGAAGGTTGAAATGACCGATTCTCTGACCACCGCCGCCACCCAAGCCAGGCTGCAGTGGGCTCAGGAATCTGTTTCACTGGTTCCATGCCCCCACGCACAGGGGCCCCTGAAGGTCAGTGGCCTGAAGGATTGAGTGGTGGGCAGGGACCAGCAGGCAGAAGCAGCTCTTAGGGCCCCAGCCCCAGATGGAACTGTCACCTCTCTGGACTTTGGAATCAAGGACCAGCAGGCAGGATGGCCGTGAGGACTGACAGTGACATTAGTTCCTGGGAGTTACAGGGCAGGTACTTAGGGGAGCAGAGAAAGCAGACCCCAGAGGGACATCACTGGAACCGACTTATAGGGAAAAGTCGAGGCGTGAGAAGGAGCCCTACACCATGAGCCTGTCCTGGCTCCTGCGGTTTCCTGCCCCAGGCTGACCCAGAGGCCCTGGATTCTGTAAGGTGCCCTGTCTCCCATACAACACCCTCCGCTCTGCTCCGTCCCCCGAGAATGGCCTCTGTGTGCACTCATCTGCAAGGCTCCTGACTGAAGCTAAGGCGAAGCTGGGTACCTTGGTTGACGTGTGGACGTGGGCGCCCTTGTCCAGGAGCGAGGTGACCATGTCCGCGTGCCCCTCCTGGGAGGCCAGGTGCAGCGGGGTCACGCCCTGCTTGGTCCCGACATTCGTCTCGGCTCCATAGCTGAGGAGCGTGGAAGCGATCTGCGTCTGGTTCTTCTTGGCAGCGATGTGTAAGGGAGTGTAGCCATTCTAAACCACAAATGAAATCGAGTACATAGCAAGCTCAGCAACTGCCCTGATGTGTATCTCAGGAGGAAGTCAACAGAAAAGCTAAAAGCGAGTTTATGGTAAATGGCAAGTTTCCATGCAACGCACCCCAATCTTTACCACCGGGCACCACAGGGCCCGCAGGGCACCGTGAGACAGATGGACGCGAGGCCCAGACCTTCACATCGGCCCTAGAAGAGTGGTTCCCTCCTGAGGAGCAACGTGGAATCAGCCTGTTCCTCTGCACACGACCCTTCCTGCCGGGAGGGGGTTTCACACCCCCCTTTGCTCTTCTCTTTTCCAGGCCAACCTTCCCCATTCCTTCAGCTACCTGGATAGGACCCCGTTTCCAGAGCCCTCTCCACTGAGGGGACTGTGCTGGACCAGCTGGTCCGGATCGCTCCCGAGCTGCACAGGAACCGAGTGCTACCCACCCCAGGTGTGGCGTTAGCAGCACAGAATAAAACAGTGCCGTGGCCTTGCTGTAGCACGCTGGCCGCTGGTGTGTTTCCCTCATTCAGAAGCTGCCATAGTGCTGGCTGGGTTGTTCCACGCCAGCCAATCAACCCAGCCCCATGGCAGGGTCCCAGTGACCGCAGACCTGCGGCCCTCACCTTGGCGGTGGCGTGCGGGGACGCACCCCTCTCCAGCAGCAGCAGGGCCACCTCCTGGTGGTCATAGTGGGCGGCCACGTGCAGCGGGGTCAGGCCATTCTGCAGAGGGTGGTGTAGGCTCCTGGTTAGTACGTGGTATTAGCTGCCCTGAAGCTACCAGAAGGGGTGGGGACCAGTATCGATCAAGTCCAAGTTAATTAGTTAATATGGTCAATAGGAGCAAAGGAATCAAAGTCAACAACTACCTAATGATTTTACCCTGGAAACAACCAGACCTGGGGAAGCTGCTGAGTTTGCAGTGAGGTCTGAGACACTCTGTGACAATTAGGACACGAGCCTGGCAGGGACTCCCCTTATCGAGGACAAGTCCTGGCCCGAGTGCACGGGCCTCGGGTGGAAGCAATCCCGCCCGCCCCACGCTGGGCTGTACCTTCCCCGCGGAGTCGGCCGCCACCCGGCGGTGCAGCAGCAGCTTCGCCACATCCAGGCTCCCGTACTTGGCTGCCACGTGCAGGGGCGTGAACCCTTTCTGAAACGTGAACAAGAGAGAGGTGCTTGTCTGCCTGACCACCAGCAAGTTGCTTTCACTTATTAACATATGAAGCAAACGATGTTGACTCGCCATTTGGGGAAAACGTGGGCAGCATTAACCCCCATTCACCATCAACAGGGTGAGGGCAAAGAGTGAACTTCACCATCCAGAGTTTGCCTCAGACTAAACAAAAAGAATTTAAGAGCTGGAAACTGACTGTGGCTCCGTAGGAGGGTGTGTAGAAGCCCCAGGTCACTGAGACGGCTCCGATTTGTGCCTGGAAAAAATGCCTGTTTTTTCTTGCCTCTAAAATTAGTGGGATTGAGACAATAAGCTCTCTCTCCTTCTCGTAAGACCTGAATTCCTAATTCTTCACTTAAGTTTCAGGATATTTCAATGGCCATGGTAAAAAAAAATAATTTTTGGTGGTTCCATCAATTTGTATTTTCTGCAGAAGTAGCAAGATAAATGGTTGATAGAACCAAAAAATGCTCATGGTTGAGAAGCCCCTGCCAGCCTGTCACCCCTTTCCCAGGAGGGAGACCCCCACTGCATAAAATTCCTCTTGTAAAACACTCCACCAGCGGACGGACACCAGACTTTTATACACACGTCTTCTTAAAGACCCTTCTCCCACACGTCTCTGTCTGGATTCAATGTCTTGTGTGCCTCCTGCCTGTCCTGTAATTCACACTGTGTCCCTGGACTCAGATCTCAAGGACGGCCAGACCCACACCGCGACCTCAACTCCATCATCTTGGACAGACCGTGTCACCCACGCAGCCCTGGCACGGCCCACAGCGAACACGCGGGACACGCCAGGTGGGCGGCAGGGGTGCGGCCTGTCCCCGGCTCCTTCCCAACCCAGCACGCGCCCCGGGAAGCAGTGCAGCCCTGCGCAGGTCACCACGCTCTGGTTTCAAGTAGGAGGTTGTCTTCCTTTTTGCTTCTTTTTGAACATGTGGTACTAATAACTCCTGGGAGGAAAGTGAATCCTGCTTTCCCCGCGTGTGGGACGAACATGGGAAGTCTCCTCGTTCCTGCACGCACCCATTTAAAGCGACATCTGCTCCCCCTGCCACCCAGAGACCGGGTGGCGCTCGGAAGGAAACTCCTTGAGACTGCGTGGCGAGGAAGAGAAAAGTCCTCCCGCTGCAGTCCTGCTGGAATGGCGACCCAGCCGCTACAGACGTGGAACTCCTATCAGACAAAACTGCACAGGATCTTCGCCGCAGAGCCACAGCGGGGCAGCCCCGCCATCTCGAGTCACCGCCTGTCTCGTCCCTGTGTGATCTCCCCCGGACCTCACCGACCCCCAGGATCTATAGAGGCTTCGTGTCCGCCCCTAGGCAGGGCCCCGTCCACCCCGCCGTCTGTCTCACACGTCCTCCCACTAAACAGCCCTCCTGTCCTATTGCCTTATAGTGTTAAATCCCAAAACTTGCTGGAGGGCCGCGGGCTGTGTTTAATGCTCTACTCTGTTTTACACGTCTGAGTTTCCATCACCTTCATCCCATGCGGCAATCACCCAGTCTCTTGTAAGTTATTATGATGACTACTATTATTATTATATGTTTGTTGCTTAGTTTCTGATTTTTAAAAAAGGATTTTAAAACACTTTCAACTCTTCAGATGTGAATAATTAGTGATTCCTTCCCTGCGGGCATGAGGGCTGCTCCTCCGGCTGACAGGCCCGTTCTCACCTGGAAACGCCTCTGCGGAGGCGCAGCACCGCGCCCGGTGGCTTTGAGCAGGTAGAAAAACTCTAATAATCTGAGTCACTGCGGTACCTGTGGGCAGTGTTTTGCCTGCAAACAATTCACCTGTTGTGGGTTTTACCTTGTCTGCTTCCTACCCTCTGCACTAGTCCAGTTTCTTTTGCTCCCATTAGCCAAGTGTTTCCTGTTTTCTTCTAAGTCACATCCAAACAGGGAATCCAAGTCAAACGTGTCAGGTGGAGAGAAAATCACTGCCCANGGCCCCGCCATCTCCTGAGTCACCGCCTGTCTCGTCCCTGTGTGATCTCCCCCGGACCTCACCGACCCCCAGGATCTATAGAGGCTTCGTGTCCGCCCCTAGGCAGGGCCCCGTCCACCCCGCCGTCTGTCTCACACGTCCTCCCACTAAACAGCCCTCCTGTCCTATTGCCTTATAGTGTTAAATCCCAAAACTTGCTGGAGGGCCGCGGGCTGTGTTTAATGCTCTACTCTGTTTTACACGTCTGAGTTTCCATCACCTTCATCCCATGCGGCAATCACCCAGTCTCTTGTAAGTTATTATGATGACTACTATTATTATTATATGTTTGTTGCTTAGTTTCTGATTTTTAAAAAAGGATTTTAAAACACTTTCAACTCTTCAGATGTGAATAATTAGTGATTCCTTCCCTGCGGGCATGAGGGCTGCTCCTCCGGCTGACAGGCCCGTTCTCACCTGGAAACGCCTCTGCGGAGGCGCAGCACCGCGCCCGGTGGCTTTGAGCAGGTAGAAAAACTCTAATAATCTGAGTCACTGCGGTACCTGTGGGCAGTGTTTTGCCTGCAAACAATTCACCTGTTGTGGGTTTTACCTTGTCTGCTTCCTACCCTCTGCACTAGTCCAGTTTCTTTTGCTCCCATTAGCCAAGTGTTTCCTGTTTTCTTCTAAGTCACATCCAAACAGGGAATCCAAGTCAAACGTGTCAGGTGGAGAGAAAATCACTGCCCAGCACAAAGTTTGAACATAAGTAAAATTTAGGCCGATGTATGTCTTTTGTTAGATAAGGTGACACCCAATAAAGTGACTCTCCAGCTAGGTCTGTTTAGACACCAGGTACCGCACAGGGGTGTTGCTGGAAGAGGCTGGAGAGCAAAAGTGGGTGCAAGCAGATACGAGCATCGGGAAAGTCAAGACGAAGTAATGTGAGCGTCTCAGTGGCACTAAAACCTTAACCAACACAGAACTGACAACCTAACGCCACTGTCTCTTCCTCATTAGTGAGGGTATCTAGGGATCTTATTTTTCCCTCTTGGAACACAGTCCAGGTTTCACGGCGGGAAGGGAAGGCAAGGGCTTGCTCGGTGGAAGCCTCCTTAAAGGAGCCAGTGGCTGTGCTAGAAACCACCCAGCATTCACTAGAAGGAGGGACGCCGGCATCCCCGCTGCAGAAATGACATGATCTCCCAAGGCCCTGTGATCATTCGGGAAACGGATCTAAAAAGAACTCACAGGCCTGATGGAAATCTGCCCTGGGGCCGTGTTCGTGGCAGAGCACCACTGCTCTGCCGTCCGGGCCACCCCTTACCTTGGTGGCTAAGGAGTGGGCGGCTCCGGCTTCCAGGAGCACAGAGGCCACGTCCACCTGGCCTTCCCTGGCGGAGATGTGCAGGGGCGTGTAGCCATTGGTGGTGGCCGCGTCCGGGTGGGCCATGTGCTGCAGGAGCAGCTGGGCGATCTCCGTCTTGCCCAGGCGGGAGGCGATGTGCAGAGGCGTCTGTTCCTCCTGCAACGCAAGTCAAGTCGGACGTGAGCCAGGGCAGCTCAAACGCCACCGGTGTCCTTCATGCCACTGCCTACGTTTCGGGGTCTCGAGGAACCCTGTGCAGAAGGAGACCACTGCTACTCTGACCACAGCTCATTTCACATTTGGCTGCAGAGGTGACCTGTTTGGTCCCAGAATCTTCCTGGTTTTATTGCCAGAGGGGAGGGAGGTGGGGGCGGGAGGAGAAGGTAAAGGGGGGAAACGGTGATGGAAGGAGGCTTGACTTGGGGTGGTGAGCACACAATATACAGGTGATACACTGTGCAATTGTACACCTGAGACTCATCATTTTATTAACCAGTGTCATCCCAATAAATTCAATTACGTAAAGAAAGTCTGTCCTTCCATCAACTTGGCCTTTGTTTCTAAGCACACCAGAAGGCCAGGCCTCGGCCCTCATTTATATTCATAAACCCACTCTTGGTTCTGAATAAGAAAGAAATCTTGTTCGGAAGCCCTAAGACCTAGATTCCCACCCAGAAGCTTTCACTAAAAACCAGTGCGGATTCTGGGAACAGAGCCAGGAGGGAAAGAACGAGGGATGCTGGGAAGGCCTGGGTCTCACTCCACGTGGAGAGCCAAGGGCTGGGCGCGTCTTCACGGAGAGGCTGCGGACAGAGGAGACGTTGTAACTGGTCCTTATAAATGTCCCAGGGTGCGGTGCCCATGGGTCCAGGACTGGCACCCAGTGAAAGTGGGAGCTCTGGCAGGGAGGAAATGGGGCTGACTGCGAGCCAAGAGCTCCCACGGGAAGGCACAGAGCCGTGAGGCAGCAGGAACGGTTCAGGGGGCTCCAGAAACCGCCTGGCTCAGCTGTAGTCAGGAGACTGGTTTGAGTGCTAAGAAAACCAGACCAAAATGTTGTCTTGTAAAAAGAAAATTGCTGTAACCTCAGGTCTGTCTTCACAATTGGCCCAAGGGCATGTGACAGTTAAAGTGAGGAAAGAGAGGCTGGGCTCCAAGGGCCAAGATCCCGCCGAGAAGATGTGATACCAGCAGGAAGAATGTTCACGTGACGCAGATCTTCAAGCTGTGAGGAAAGACTATTAAGAGGAGCTGCAGGAGACATGGAGCAGCACTGTGTGATTCAGGGTGGTGAGAAGTGAGCAGAGCTGGAATTTTATGGAAATGTATCCCCATAAACGCCTTCCTGTATGGTGCACTTGATCCTGTCCTTAAAACAGACCCGAAAGGAAGGCATAGCATGTACTATTAGACCATTTTCCAGGGACAAGACTAAGAAGAGTTAAATAAGTCCAGGATTGTCCACAGTCACTCAGCTACTAACCAGGGCTTGAATTTAGGCCTTGGGTTCTGAAGACACATAGCTGCCTACACCTGCTACAGAGAGAGACAAGGTGGCACCGAGAAAGCGAGGACAGGGTGCCTCCACAGGAGAGGAGCCTGGCAGCACCTCAGATGGGACACAGAGGAACCGGGAGAGTTCAGCACTGCACGGACAGATGGAAACCAAAGCAAACGGCCGTCGGAAGCGAGGACCTTGAGAAGAGCCACTGGGAACACCTGTTGTTTCCAGTTTCCTTCCTCAGACTGACCGGGCAGCACTGGGAGTGACCGCCTGACGAGTGGGGGCTGGGGCCACGGCGACCCCGACCCAACGCTGAGAAGCGGCCCCGCGTGACGGGCAGCCAAGGGTGTGGTTAAACTATCGGCTACCCCCCTTGGGTCTCAGATCACAGAGCATGCGGCACTTGTCTCAAAAAAATCTATGAAATCAGCGTCTTGCCCACTGTCTTCAAGTTCTGGTACAGTGGTACCTGAAAGTGGGAAAGGGGCGAATCACAAACTGGTAACACTGTTTCCTCCAGTAACCAGACATATCAGCCCTTTGGGGGTTCAGGTAATTGTTTCCCTGTCGAAGCTGCTGCCTCAGGCTAACGCTCACTCAAGCCGAGGCAGAGAATGGGGGCACAGGAATAGCATTCTCGGAAGAGCTTGAGAAATGGGGGTTTGATTTCCGAGATGTCCTCCAAATGGAAGGGGCGATGCTTCCGCGGTGAGGCGCGCGAACCACGGCACAGCTCTGCCCGGAGGCGGAAGCTCTGCCTCACCGCCACGGGCCCGTCTCCCAAAATTAGGGAGACTTGCTGAGCCCCAACTCTTTACCACAGGACTGAAGCAAGAGGCTGTGACAAGGTTCACAGATGTGATACATTTTTCAGCCAATAGTTTCTACCCAACAGGACTCCCAGGAACCACATGGACTGGCAGCTATTCAAGCTGCCAGTGAATTAAGTTTCAAGTGAGTTTATGCCCATGGGCACTGGGATAACTCAGTCTCTAGAGCAAATGCCAGGCACTCTGTTGTGCCTACAGAACATGGGCACCCTGAGCCAGAGTCTCCCAGGAGGGCAGGCCCGGGGACCTCCGAGTGCACCCACGGAGGAACCTGGATGAGAAGGAACCTTCCTGGGCAGGGCCCGGGGCAGGCATGCCTGCTGACCAAGGAACATGGGCCCCTGGGCCCTGCTCTCCAGTGTGTCCAGCAAAATGCTGCTCTAATTTCTGACTAGCTGTCTCCCTTTGGGAGACACTGAGCTGCAGAGCAGGGCTATGAGGTCAGAGGGTATTTTCAGAAGAACATGAGGGGGGTAAGTGTGCTGGGAAGCCAAGGGCAAGACCAAGCAGACAAGTGTTGGTTCTTCTGCCCCCTTCTTCTGGGAACAGGCCTCCTCCTGGAGGAAGTGGACACCTCCCACTGCACCTGGCTCTCTCTAAGGTGCCGCCCCCATGTCACCCCACCTCATGAGTGGCCCACACGTGGCATGGAGCCCCAGCTGGGTACTATGTCCTAGCCACAGACATCAGCTCAGGTGGGTAATGGGACTGAAGGACCCAGTTGCCTGGATGGAGAGAGGAGGATTCTATCTATGTCTGAAATGGGAGATAAAGGTGTCAGCAAAGAGCCAGGTCACAGGACAGAACTCTCGGCTATCCTTTCAACTCTGCGACCCCAGGCACGTCAGCACAATCTTGAATTTTAGGACCTTAAGCTGCCCTACAACACAGGGCTGCTGTGTGTGTGAAATAAGATAACGTGTGTTTAAAAAAAATGCTTTGTGAATTATAAAGCTTCAGTCTGTCCTGACAGGAGCATGGCCACACCTGAGAGGCAGCTAGGAAAGCAGGTTCAGGCCCCAGCCTGGCCGTCCATGTACAGGCCGCCCAGGTACAGGCTGGTTCTGACAGGTGGCTTGTATACGTGATGAGCTGTGGCCGTCTCACTGTCCAGGGGACTCACAGGGAGGCGTTCAGTGACATCCTAGGGTGGTGGTGGAAGTGAGGAACCAACCAAAAATGGCATGAAATTTGATATTTAAATGAGAGATAAAAAGATGTTTCTATGGAGACCATGTAACTGCAAAGGGGAAGTAAAACAATAGAATCAATGGAATTTATGTATAGAAATAAACACATGTATATATACACACATACATACATGTATACAGACACACACAAATACACACACATATATACCGACACACACACACATATGCACACATACATACATGTATACACATACACACATATATACATACACACATACAGACACACATGCACACATATATACAGACACATACAGACACACATATGCACATATACATACATGTATACAGACAAACAGACATACAGGTTAAATTATACAGGCATACACACAAATATATACGTGTATACAGATGACAGACATATATACAGACAGGAAATTCTATAACATTTCAAAGGAAAGAGTCCGTGGCCAGTGGTGTTGAGGAAGGGATTTTAGATGGTCCAAAATGGCATAGGGCAATAATTAATAATAGGTTAAATGGACAACATAAAAAAATTGGCAGAGATCATGAAAATGAGCAAATTTCCATTAAAATATATATTAAAAGTTGAATATAGAAGAGCATTGAAGTGTTTTGATTTTGAGAGATAATGGGAAACCCTTTTATTATTAAATACGGATCACAAAATATTTATCAGAAACATTATCACAATTTCTGGTAAGGACAGTGCCGTTCGTGATACTCAGAGTGACTGACTGACCATGAGACTGTCCTTAAAAACAGCCGAGGGCAGGTAACTGTGCAAGGAGGGAGGACCGGCAGAGCCACAGGCACTCGGGCGTCAGCTCCTGTGTGCGACACTGTGGGAGGGACATGTTGTCAAACCCAAGAATGTCCAGCACCAGGAGTGACCCTAATGCAAACTGTGGACTTGGGCAATGAGGATGTGTCCCTGTGGCTCATCAGCTTTGACAAATTCCCCGCTGGTGGGGCTGCCGACACGGGAGGTCAGAGGGCAGATGGGAAATCTCTGTATCTTCCTCTCAATTTTGGTGCAAACATGGAATAGCTCTAAAAAAGAGTACTTAAGGAAAAAATGCCCTGCCCTGGCTGGTGTGGCTCATGGTTAGAGAGAAGGCCGTGGACTGAAGGGTCCTGGGATCGACTTCAGCCAAGGGCACGTACCTCGGTTGCAGGCTTGATCCCCAGCCCCAGTCAGGGCACAGAGGGGGGGCAACCAATCGACGTGCCTCTCCCACATTCATGTTTCTCTCTCTGTCACATCCACGTCTCTCTCACATCCATGTCTCTTTCACAACCACGTCTCTCATATCCACATCTCTCTCATAACCACGGTTCTCTCTCTCACATCCACGTCTCTCTCACATCCATGTCTCTCACATCCACGTCTCTCTCACATCCATGTCTCTCTCTCACATCCACGTCTCTCTCACATCCATGTCTCTCTCTCACATCCACGTCTCTCTCACATCCATGTCTCTCTCTCATATCCACGTCTCTCTCACATCCATGTCTCTCTCACATCCACGTCTCTCTCACACACATCCACGTCTCTCTCACACACATCCACGTCTCTCACATCCATGTTTATCTCTCACATCCACGTCTCTCTCACATCCACGTCTCTCTCACACACATCCACGTCTCTCACATCCACGTCTCTCTCGAAAAAAAAAAAATGCCAGGAAGAACAGTTTGAATCGCAAAAGCTCTAAATACTGAAGAGCATATGGTACCAACAATGGGCACCAAAGATATAAATTAGTGTTACAAGTTAGCGTTAACTTGTATGATGGGTAGAAAGGTGGTAAAACCTAAAATGACAAAGGCACCCACGTGTCCCCGGGCGCTGGGGAAGCGCTGTGAGATCCCTGGGTCAGAGGGTGGTAAGAAAGTCGGGAAAGGGCACCAACCCTCACACTAGGTAAAACCGGGCGGGAGGGAGAACTTGGGCGACCTCCTAGGGCCGCTTCACTCCAACAGGACGGTCCCTAAGGCGCGCCAGGCGCCCAGTCAAGGTGGGCGAGTTCCAGCCCAGGCTTGTCAGGCGGGAGGAGAGCGATTCTGCGCCCGAGGGCCCCGAAGGGCTGTGCGTGTCCGTGGGGGCGGGCAGGGAAGGAGGCAGAGGCGCGGGTGGGGCGAGTGCCGGCGCCGGAGTGCGAAGGAAGCAGCGAGAAGGCCGCAATCTCGAGGAAATCGAAAGGGAAACCAGCCCAGGGGAGTCAGGGGCAATTGGAAACGGGAAATCTGAAGGAACAGGAACAACCGCCGACAGGTTCCTGCGTTTGGAGGTGGAGGGAAGGGAAGGCTGGGCGGCGGGAGAGGAGAGCAGAGGCGGGGACCACGGCGCTCTGCCTGCGGTTCGTTCCCAGGCAACCGGGAAGGCGGCCTGCGGACTGTGCGGGTGGGAAGAAGTGAGTGCACCGTGCACAGCATCTCTGGAGCACGTGGGTTTTAAGTCCGTGAAATAAACAGACATTTGCGCAAGTGCTTCCACAGGTGACGTCAGTCAGCGTCAGCCCATGCCGTGTTCTTAGGTGCAGATGGCACGTTTGTCCCAACGCGCATCTTTCTGAAACCAGTGCCTCCCACCCCGTGTGCTCATTGCTCCCTTCCCTTTGCCTGAAAGCCGGTTCCTGAGGGTTGGCCCACCTGCACCCCTGGAGGGAGAGACCAGGCACAGGAGGGGCCTGGCCGGGCACCTACCCTGGCTCTGGCGTCGACCAGGGCACCGTTCCGCAGCAGGCACCGCACCACCTCCACCTGGCCCGCCCGGGCGGCCATGTGCAGCGCTGTCTCCCCGCGCTGCCGGAAACAAGAGCGTTGATCGTCAGTGAGCCCTCAGTTTCAGTGGTAAAGAGTAAAACGTGACATTTTTGTGAAATTCAACAATAACCCAAAGGCTTAGGAAACCTGTGGAAAGACATGATGAGTCCCCCGACATTCAGTCTGAGCAGCACCACTCTGAACCCTCTGCCTTCGTGAGGATAAGATGAGCTCCCTCTACTCTTTTCAGCCCATGGAACCGAGGGACTGGCCCCAATGTCCAGGGTGCCTTAGGCCGAGGCTGTAATCACCTGGCAGAACTTAAATCTGTCATTGTCACACTCAACTATGTGATAACAGCACCGTCGATTTTAATGAGAAAGTCTAGATGCTGGAAGTCAAGTCCGCACATCCCGAAACCACGTCCTCTGCACCACAGTCCCATCGTCCTCTCCAGAATTCAACATTTATTTCTGAAATAAAGTGCTAGTTTTCTGCTGACTTGTCTTTGTGTTAGGAAACTAGACAGTGACTGTTGGCATGAAGCATGCCCAGCCCTGGAGGTCCCCTACTTTTTATTAATGAGTATATTTAACTACAGAAGTTATCTGAGAAAACGGCTGGAGAAGCAGCTGTCAGCAGGGCCACCGCGGGCTCAGCTGGGCATCAGGGCCTCTTGCATCCCGTGCCCGCCGACTGTCACACTGATCGGGAAATGGCAGCTTAGACCGTAGAGAATTCTCTCATTGGGAAGCCTGTTAATTACTAACTCTAGGAAATAGGGTTTTGTCTTTTTTTAAACAGCGTATTTTAAAACCACATGTAGTTCTGAACAAGGCAGAGTTTCTTTCATTCAGTTGTAAAAGACCACAATACTGAACTAAAAGTTACTACTTTTAGTGACCACTGTCCTGGAAAATATGGCTGATTAGACCACGTTAAGTAAGCTCTCACGTCACTAAGTCAGTCTTCAAGTTGGTCATGGGGACAGAACACGCCTGACAAATCCCAGGGGGTAATTCCTTCTCATTCCTTGCCCAGGAAACCCTTAAACTCTAGAGGATGCCAGGCGGCCTTTGGGCATAATCCCCGGTGTTCACACACCCCGTTCCTTAGGACGTTACGACAAATTCATTCAAATGAGTTGGTTTGAAAAGAACGAAGCTGACGGCTGCTGTAATTTTTCCTTTACCAGTGGTCACCTATCCTCCAATGTTCTCATTTTCCGATGATATATTCTGACTTTCGTGAAGAAAATGTACCCGGAGCCTCTTGATCTATAAAGTGGCGTGTTCCTAGAACAACACTTGTCCTCGGGCTCGCGGGGTGTGGCAGGACGCTTCCCCCGCGCAGCTCGGCCTCTCGCTGTGCTCTGTCACTAAAGGCTGTCTCTAGTCGATGACGCCAGGTCTTCTCAACGTTCAAAAAACACACACACCTCAAACCTTTCCTCTGTTTTTAGGCCTTACAAAAGTATAGCCGTTATACTAACTTTGGTAGAAATAAAGACAGAAATGAATTTCCTGAACGAACGTTAAGTCAACGCAGACTCAGGAGCACCAACTCGAACGCAAGCCCGAGTGTCGGGAAGGAGCTTTCAAAGTGTAAATGTTTCCAGTGTTCGTCTTGCTCTTTCCAATACCCTGTGTACTTACGTGAGTTACTTCATGGTGTTTGCACATTTGAAACTGGCAGCTATATATCACCCCAAAAGTATTAAGTGTTACGTTCAAAGAAAAGTCCTATAGACACACGTGGTCCCTCCCCTTCCAACAGTGGTCTCGTTTGGTTTTATTTGATGACCTTGGGGCAGCTGACTTTTACTGTAGATCTCCCTCACCACTGTATATTACCTTTGTTTATTCATAAGTGTAAATAAGAAAATGAAAGAGGGTGTATAGAGTTTTAATCAATAACTTCCATTTCTTGGCTGTTGGGCACCTCATCGCATTCAACGCTGGTGCTTTCTTTATCTTAAGTGAATTAACTGTAAGGATTGGGGGAAACCCTCCGACATAATAAGCAGAGTGAACTTAGCCGGGAGCCCACTGATCTGCTGTGAGAAGGAAAACTTGCTAACAGGGCACTGCGCTCTGGGCAGCCCTGCAGGGTGGGCGTGGGCTGGGGCTCCCGCCATGCCAGCGGCCATGGCCAGGTGGACACGTGGTGCATTCATGAGCAATCTGGAAAGGGGGCATGGCTGAGTGACTGAGTGACTGGTACCCTCAAACGTGCAGTGAGTTTCCAGACAAAAACAAGACTTAGCAAGAGGTGGTGAGCTCCTGCTGGAAGCAGCTACTAAACGTCATGCCCCTCTTCTCAGAGTTAAAACGGACTCTGCCAACAGCTGCAGCCACCACTCGACAGCATCAGCCAGAAGCCTCAAAGCAGGACAGACAGCATTGCATCCAAAAATGCAACATGGCCTCAGGCAGCACACGGAGGCTCGGGTGCGGGCGGGGAGGACCCACACGGACACAGCAAGCAGGCAGTTTCACGCCGTGACTTAGCTGCCCGAAGAGCTGGGATCCGTAGCTACACCCTCCCGTCCCGAGAATGACGGGCACAGGCGGCCGCGCTAGAGAAAGCCGAGGCCCTGCACGCGTAGGGTTGCAGGCTTAGCCAGTGAAAACAGAACGCCAGTCCAGCTGTAGCTCCAAATGGCAGGTAACTATTTTAGCATATCTGAAGAAATGGTGGGACATACTTATATTAAAAACAATAATTTGTTGTCCTGGCCAGTGTGGCTCAGTGGGTGGAGCACCACCCCAGGCACAGAAAGGTCACGGGTTCCGTTCCCGGTCAGGGCACAGCCCAGGTTTCGGGTTTGATCCCGGTCGGGGTGCATACAGGAGGCAACTGATCGATGTTTCTCTTTCAACATGGATGTTTCTCTCTCTCTCTCCCTCTCCCTCTCTCTTTAAATAAATCAATAAAAATATATTTTAAAAAACCGAAACTGCAAAAAGCACAATAATTTGCTGTTTACCAGAAATTCAAGTTTAACTGGCAGTCCTGTGCTGTGCCTGGCAGCCCTACCTGTGCGGCATCTCCCCCCTGCCGAGCTCTTCGCACCAGGATAAAAACAAGCAGGACACGCGGGGACGCGTCGGGGGAGGGTTGGGGCGCAGGGGCCTTGCACGTGTTTGTTTGGAGGGAGCTGAAGAGAAACAGTAAGTGATGGACAAACTTGAAGATAAAACCATGAAGAACTTCATAGTGACCACAGATGGAAGTTAAAGTTTCATACAGCAACTGCCAAATTTGGAAGTTTTTAAGAACCTAAGCCACGTCCTCATTGTTATTGCTTTAATTAATATTTTATTTATTTGTATGTGAAAATCTACGTCGCCTACATAGCACTTTTTTGCAGAGGAGAGGGATCAATATGGAGAAATCGGAACTGCCCGGTGATCTGAAGTTGGTCGGTTAAGAGGCACATGTAGAGTCTCCACAGAATCACACAACCACTTCATACAGACTTTCTTTAATGATTTTGCAAAAGTCTCCTCGCAATAAAAGATGACCTCAGGAGATGCCAATCAAGCATCGCATGGGATGCACTCACGCTGGTATCGCCCCAGCGTGGTAACTAAGGCGGTTCCGCCATCTCTGCTGCGGCCCTGCAGCCCGGTGGGGCCCCACGAGCGCTTTGCTCGGGTACGGCCTGCGCAGGACTCAGTCAGCGAGAGGTGGTCGCCTCTGGGCACAGGCGGGATGCTGTCCCTTCCTTTCAAAGTCCTAAGAAGTGACTAGAAACTAAGCTCACATTGGCATGTTGTGGAATTACTCTTATCCTTAATAAAGTGAAGATTAGTAAATAATGTGGGAACTTAAGACCAATAAGCTGTAATTAGGGAAATTTATGAACAGCCTTTATGTGCCAATTTTGGGATGGTTTTGTGCTCCAACTGTCAGTAATATGAACAGGGAGTATTAAGGGATATTTAAAATCAAATAAACTTATTTCACATGGACTTTGTCTCTGCATCTGACACTTCAGCACAGAAACTGTGTCAGATACAAAGAAATGGGACGTGAGAGGAAAAACAGAAAGAAGAGGAACTGGACGTTGCTTCACAACAAGGGAATGAAATACCAAAGATTAGCAACACGATCGGCCGGCTGTCCTCGGGAATGGGGCTCGTTCTAAGGGGGGCGCTGATGCTCCTTTGGGGGCAGGCTTCCTTGGCATACTTAAGTCCTCAGCCGCCCGGGGTCCCGCGAGCCCCCGAGCGCCGGTGCCCTGCACAGAGGCGAGAATGTGCATTCGGTGACCAGACCGCGGTCCAAGGGGGGGCTCTAGACGGGGCAGCCGCACAAGGACACGGGGTGAGAGGAGGTGGGGGAATTGGGGGCATCGTGCCCACTGGCAGAAAGAAAGCTGCCCGGGGGGCAGCGTTCCTCTAGGTGGGTGGACAAGGTGGGACGCTGACTGCTTCAGTACGAGAGAACCCCCTCTCCCAGCAAAACCAGACCAAGACGGAAGGCCAAGCGGAGGCAGGAAACGGAAGCCCGGGCCAGTGAAGCCGGGGCGCCCTCCGCCCGGCCTGTCTCCGCAAGCCAGGGGCCCGACTGCGGCCCGACTTGGTACTTTCACCGCGATCACCTGGGATACAGCCGCTCGGCCGGCACGGTGGGCCCTGAAGCGCTCACCGCAGCCGCCACTGGGAGGCGGGCGGAGCTCAGACAACACGTGCGGCACCGTCCACCGCCTCCGGGAAGCCTCCGGGACTGAGACCCTCCCTCCCTACGGGCTCTCGGCAGTCCGCGGTCCCCGCGGCACAGGCGTCCGGGCTCTCCCACAGCTCCCCGGACGCGCAGGCTGCGCCCAGCCGTACTCACAATGTTAGTGGCGTCGGGACAGGCGCCGTTCTGCAGCAGCAGCAGCACAATGTTCAGGTGGCCCATGAAGGCGGCCACGTGCACAGGCGTGAGGCCCGACTGCGGACAGAGCGACAGGCTTTACTCCCTGCACGGCGGCTGCCCCGCCCCGAGCGGGGGCGGGGTGGGGGAGTGGAGGGTGTTGGTGACAAGCGGGGACAGTCTACCTCTGTGACAGCCTGGATGGAAGCCCCGTATTTCACCAGCAGCTCCATGACTTTGATGCGGTTTTTCTTGCAGGCAATGTGCAGTGGAGTAAAGCCATTCTGTGCAAAAGACAACCGGGTTAGTCGGAGACATGCACAGCGGCCCTCACCGCGGCATGCGGCACACGCGGGCCCGTCACAGCGTCACGGCACCGTGTCCCGCAGCAGCACTGGGGTGGGCGGGCGTCTGCGCGGAGCCCTGCTCGCGTGGCGACGGGAACAACGCACATGGGACACGGGCCGCTCGCCCAGAAAGAAAACGGGGCGAGGAGCCTGGAGAGGGCAGGTGAGGAAACGCCTGGGGGCAGCGGGGTGAGCGTGCTCTGGGACGAAAGTCGTTTCTTAAGGGCGTAGACGCCGCTCACCTGCCTGCTTCAGAGGCGTGAGGCCATCACTGCCCCCAAAACTGCCCCCAAAATAAATGCTTCAGCTTTGCTACTTCTGCCTCCAGGGAGGAGGTGCTGCCATGAGCAGAAATCATTGTTTATGTGGATAAGTTTTTATATCCTGATGTTATATTAACATTTTTATAAGTTGTTGTATATCAGCAGAAACTATTATGTAGAAGGTTCATATCTTGAAATTATATTTCTTATTTTAAAGTTTTTATAAGAGTTCATGAAATATATTTTATGAAGAAATGATTATGAAATTTGTCAAATATTTTTAAGAAAAGTATGGAAGTTTCTGGAATAACTGGAAGGATTGCTCTCTGAGAGGCAAAGGACTGTGGAGGCATCTAAGGCACTTCTGAACTTTTCAAACAGCTAACGTGGAGGAACCGGGGATGTTATATAAAGATTTGCTCTCAGGCCCCATGCTTCACCCTGCGTGTTGTCCTTAGAGTTGTATTTTTATGTGGACAGTGGCCCCTGCGTATGGTACCAGTGGGGACCCCCGTCAGCCAGTGTCCCTCAGGAAAACGCGTGGTCTCGCTAACCCGGCGGCTCATCCCTCACCGTGGTTAGTGGTTTCCCGATTCTGAGCTGTGTAATGAGCCAGATATAAGCAGCCACATGTAGATGCAGCGCTTAAAAGGCTTCTTATTATTAAATCCCAATATTATATAAGCTTACTGACCACTCTGATGGAAAATGAGTGTTTTCCTCCTTGTGAGAAAATAAATATCCTCACATAATTGCACAAACCCTAGAGGTATATTTGCTTCCCAGGCAATGAGCATAAATTAACTCTAAAGGAAATTTTCTAAATAAAAGTAAGGTTTAACCTTTGATCATTCCAGCGGCATTCTATCATCTTAAGTATTAAGACTAATTTAACCGACATAAACCATGCAAATGTACAGGGAAAAGGTTTGCTGTTCGTGTGAGAACCAGGAGCAAGGACAGATCAGCGCAGGCCCCCCTGCCGCGGCTGCAGGGACAGGAACGTGGGGAAGGAGGGTTTTCCGCACCGGGCCGAGCGCAGGCTGCGGGGCGGTCCCGGGCGGGTGGCATGAATGCCCCGGCTCTCGCCTCTGGCCGGGTCATCAGCCCCGCGAGGACACTGCCCAGCAAACCGCTCCCGGGCGGGTGTTTTACACTGTGACGGGTCAGATCAACACCCGCTTCAGAACCTCACTTTCCAGAAAGAGCTGAGTGACCTTCACCACCCTCACCCGAGCCCGAGCCCAGGGCGGAGTCTGCACTCAGGGCGGTTTCCCTCTCTCCCGACCCCTCTTCCCTCTCACACTGTTCCCCTCCAGAGCCCTCCTGTCTACCTGCTCGCCACCCCGGGGCGCTGCCTTGGGTTCCCGTAGATCTCCCTGCGCCCGCGACCACGTGCCTGCAGCGGGGACCGCGAAGGCAGGACGGAGGCAGGCGCCCGTGTGCACACCCTGAGCGTGACCGACCCCGCTCAGCCTCGTGGGCCTGCCCATCCCCCCCGTGCTTGCTGGCGGGCGGTGCTGGCGTTACCAGGGCTCGGGCGTTGGGGTTGGCTCTCTTGTCCAGAAGGAGCTTGGTGACACGGTAGTGGCCACAGTGTGCGGCCACGTGCAAGGCCGTCAGGTAGTCCAGCGTGACGTCGTCCACGGGTGCCTTGTGCTGCAGCAGGTGCTTGACACAGTCCACGTGGTCCCCCTGGGCGGCCATGTGAAGCGGAGACAGCCCGTTCTGCACATCGAAACAAAGCCAGACCACGTCCCCACTTTAGTCTCCACACTCAGGCTCTGAGACACAAGTCAATTCCTGATCTCCCCCAGAATGAGGGGGGCCTAACACCCATCTGACATCTAAGTATGTAGCAGATTATGTCTGACAAAGAGGAAAGCGAAGATAACATTTAATTTCATAATTATGCTATTCTGAGGCCAAAACACAAGTAATGTTTCATGAATGAATATGTGGTACATGTGGCAATTCAGCTGGCTCTCACAACTATCAGGGCAACACTAGATACACAGAGACAAGTGACAGCTATGCTAAATTATCCAAATCCAGCTCTACGCATAGAATCTGCATTCACTTCATCTCTCTGCACGGACTCCCCACTCTAATAGGGGGCGGGGGAGGCGGAGCAAGACCGGGACCATCTCACAGACTTGCTGCTCTTAACTCCCACGACGCCCTGTCTCCATCAGAGACCCAGCTGGGCCTGGAGAAAGCAGTCAGGGGGACAGAGGAGACAGTGAGGAATGTGGACCAGGGCCCAATGACCTCTCAAGTTCTAAATTTTGAGGAAAATCTAAATTTATCATCACTGATACTGCCCAGATGCTTTAGCCTTACTCCTCAGAGGTCAACGTCGGGAACACAAAGTAGCAGGTAATTCACTGACAGTTATCAGGCTAGAGAAGACACTTGTTTTTTAAGGTTAAATAAATAGGGTTATAGGACAAAAATGCAAAATTAGGAAAGAAACTAAATTAGAAAACATAGTCTCATTAAAGACAGTGGAATACTGTCTTTTCTTAATAACAGATGCAAATGTGGTCACTAGAAACTAACAGCTGACCATACGTCCAGCGTGGCAGCGATGAGACGCAAGGAGGCCGAGGCCGTGCCTGCATGTAAGGCCGGAGCAGGCCCCGGGCCCACGGCCCCCAAATGCACCCGCCTCTCCACTGCAGCCGTTTGTGGGCTGCAGAGTGTATGCGATTTTAAATTACTAATATTTCTTCTTTGTCTCTGAAATACTCTTTATTCATAATATTATTTTTATATTTATAAATTCATAAAATGAACGCAGGACAGGAGGCGAGCTGATGGGAAGGGACTTATGCGCCGTGCGACGTGTGGATACAGCGCTCTGCATCCCGAAGCTCGGCGGGCAGCGCCTGGAGGCACGTCGCACGCCTGTCGGTCTCAGTGCCGGTTTATCCGATAACGACAACGTGGAAACAAAATCTTCACCATTTAATCCTTTTGTTCGTTTTTGGAAATATGCACTGAGCACCCGCTCAAGCCCTGTCCCAGGCCTGAGGCCACAGCAGGGGCCTTGTCCTCACAGAGGTGGCTTCTGGGTGCTACGAGGACAATTTGAAAAGACTAAAAACTGGTGGGAGGCGCCTTCCACGCCCAAGCTGGGGTGTCCCCAGGCTATTCATTTTCTTCCTGTTTCTCACCCCGCACAGCCCTCTACTTTTTGTAATGATCTGCTTTTCTACCTTTTTACTTAAATTCTAACCTTCTTAAAGATACAGACTGCACATTACTTGTCTCGACAGTCCCTTAGTGACCAGTCGCACACTGAGGCTACTCACGGTGACGCTAGGTGATGCGTGATGAGGGAATGAGCGAAAGAGGTCAGTGAATGTAATCGTGCAGGCACAGACCCTGCACGCTGCGCCCTCAACAGGGGTGACGTCCGATTTTACCAGAGGCCACCCAGGTAACCCCTGGTCTTCATGACTGGTACGCAGTTGGGGGCCAACTCTGTAGACACGATCACAGCGGAGCTCGTGGAACAGCGTCAGCTGTTCTTTCTCAATTGGATACAGGCTTCTCACTGGTTGCAACATGGCTGGTCTGAAACATTATGTTCATTTAAATTTCAACCTGTTCTCCACAAAACTTGGAAAATGACTGCCCAAGCCCAGGGAGCTGCTTTTCAGACAGGTCCCTGCGTGCGGCCTCCCCGGTGCGGGTGCGGGTGCGGGAGTGGGCATAGCAGGCGATCATTTCTAGTCTGCGTTTCTGATCTGAAGACCACCTTTTGTGCCTGGGGCAGGCCTTTAAAGACTGCGCTCATCTCACACCTATTTCAACGTGTGGGCTGGCTTGTGCTCCAAATAATTTCAAGTAAATATTCAATTACAATGCAGTATAAGTTGAAACGATGTGCTTGTGTTGGCTGCCTTTTCAGGGCTTGCTCGGTGGCAGCACCGGCTGACACCAACCCTGACCGGGGCTCGGGAGCAGAACAGGGCATGTCCAGGCCCGAGTTTCGATTGTGCCACGGGTGTGGGTGTCGCTGCACACCCACTGAACAGCTGTGTCATCGTGTTCACTTGTCTACTGGCAGCTTCTGCTGCCCCAAGTAAGGCTGGAGGTGAGGAACTTACTGCAACAAACCTCTTAAAACACATTCTGCAACGAAAACCTCATCACTTGGTGCCACGTATAAGAACGGGCTCCCCGGGCGACTGCACTGAGGCACGAGGCAGGTCTGCTGCCTCCGCCTCGGAGAACCCTGCGCCTGTCTGCCCGCCGGCGGAGGCGCGGGGCGAGTGCGCTCTCCGTGGGGAAACCCTGCCACGGCCACACCACCGCATCTCCTGAGAGACAAAGACTGCAGCTGAAGGCTCGCCTTGTAAAGCTAATTATGCTTCTTCAAAAGGTAACTTCACGTAATTTATAGCCATCTTAGGGTATCATAAAAATGTGGACTCCTAGAATGTAAGATCGTCTCATCTATACACAAGATTCTTGTTTACTTATAATACAGCGATATTCACTTTTCCATCGGCAGTAATAGCAGGTAAAACACAGAAAGAACTTGAGGGCACACACTTACTACATCTCGCTACAGGTACTGGTTCATTTCAAATCACTTTAAAAGTCTGGCATACGTTCCTCACTCCGCGCACACAGACACCAACCGCCTAGCAAATGCCTGCTGATGCTATTTCAAGGACAGAGGGGCCGCGGGCCGCCCTCCCACAGCGACCCACCTTGGTCCTGGCCAGCAAGGGTGCCCCCCGCTCCAGCAGCAGCTCCACCGCCTGGTCGTGTCCACTTCGGGCCGCGCAGTGCAGCGGCGTCAGCCCGTCCTGCGAAGAGCCAGGGTTAGGCCTCAGTCCCCGTCCTTCTAAAGCGAGTGCACCTTGGAGAGGGCGTCTCCTGGACTCAGTCCGGCAGCTCGACGGGTGGGTGAGAGAACCATGCTTAGGTCAAGGAGAGAGACACTGTGTCTCCCTCTACACAGAAATGTCCCTTTCTGTTTCCAGTGAGGCGAGGACCCAAGCAAAGGCCACACTTCGCACATTCTTACTCTCCTGCCCGTCTCACTACCTACTGTTGGAAGTGCATAGAAGCTCAGACATTTATTTTCCTTAAGGCTGAAATGACAGAGAAGGGTACTGCACTCACCCAGACAGCCTGGGTCAGGTGCAGGGGATGCCCTGAGCCAGGTGCAGGGGATGCCCTGAGCCAGGTGCAGGGGATGCCCTGAGCCAGGTGCAGGGGATGCCCTGAGCCAGGTGCAGGGGATGCCCTGAGCCAGGTGCAGGGGATGCCCTGAGCCAGGTGCAGGGGATGCCCTGAGCCAGGTGCAGGGGATGCCCTGAGCCAGGTGCAGGGGATGCCCTGAGCCAGGTGCAGGGGATGCCCTGAGCCAGGTGCAGGGGATGCCCTGAGCCAGGTGCAGGGGATGCCCTGAGCCAGGTGCAGGGGATGCCCTGAGCCAGGTGCAGGGGATGCCCTGAGCCAGGTGCAGGGGATGCCCTGAGCCAGGTGCAGGGGATGCCCTGAGCCAGGTGCAGGGGATGCCCTGAGCCAGGTGCAGGGGATGCCCTGAGCCAGGTGCAGGGGATGCCCTGAGCCAGGTGCAGGGGATGCCCTGAGCCAGGTGCAGGGGATGCCCTGAGCCAGGTGCAGGGGATGCCCTGAGCCAGGTGCAGGGGATGCCCTGAGTCAGGTGCAGGGGATGCCCTGAGTCAGGTGAAGGGGGTGTCCTGAGCCAGGTGCAGGGGATGCCCTGAGCCAGGTGAAGGGGATGCCCTGAGCCAGGTGCAGGGGATGCCCTGAGTCAGGTGAAGGGGGTGTCCTGAGCCAGGTGAAGGGGGTGTCCTGAGTCAGGTGCAGGGGATGCCCTGAGTCAGGTGCAGGGGGTGTCCTGAGCCAGGTGCAGGGGATGCCCTGAGTCAGGTGCAGGGGATGCCCTGAGCCAGGTGCAGGAGATAATGGCTGCCTTTTCCACAAGCAACAGCAGAGCCCTGGGTAAGTCGGGTCAGCACAACCCTTGAGGAAAATAACTTAGAACTGAAGAGTGGAAGCAAAAGCCTTTTGACATGATTCATGTAAAAGCCACACTCTCCTCGTTTCCTCCTTAAACCATCCAACCAGAGATGTGTGGGTTGGACCCTCGATCTTTGTTCTGAGAAAATTAAGTCAGTGAGGACTTGGAAACTGTCTCCTTAGGGGGCTGGTGCTCTGCTTTTCTGGGTACTTATGAGAAAATATTAAATTCTGCTTTGCAAAGTGAAACCTTTAAATATTGTCTGAGGTTTAAATAAAATCCGAGAAGGCCATTTTCCCAAAACCCTGGGTTTCCATGGCTCAGGGCCTGGCATGTCAAGGAGGTGATGAAATGACACAAAAGTCACAGTGCAGGAAGCCGGAAGCCAGACACTCACCCTGGTTTTGGCATCGATCTGGCCGCCGCGGTCCAGCAGCAGCTTCACCATGTTCGTATTTCCCCGTTTGGAGGCCACGTGCAGAGGGGTGATCCCATTCTACAGGGAGAGAAACAGGAGCACGCTGGCGTGAGCCGGGGAGCGCTGTGTCCCGCGTCCAGGGCTCTGGGAGGCAGGGCCTCGGTGGTAACCTGACCCCAGGGCGATGCAGTTCAATGGTTTTGATTTTAACGAACAAGAAGCACAGAAACCCGAATGCACTACAGCCAGAGGGTGAAAACTGGAGGAAAGCTGCACCTCGGTCACGCTGTGCGTGGGCACTGAGCATGCGCCTTGCAGCCAAGGGACCAGGGAACCCCTTGCGGAACAGAGACACAGTCTCAGCTTCTACCCAGGACACAGCCTGACTCCAACACTCACCCTTCTCTCCCCAACACCCAGCACTTAAAGAATCTGGGGTCTCAGGGCTTCCTATGCTCAAAACAGAACAAAATATACTTATCAACAGCCAGTGGAAAGTGATTCTCAAGGACACCTTCTGAACAATTCAGTGTGAAAACAACTCAACATCGTTTCAGTGCAGATGATGTCTGAGGGTAAACACGCCACATACGAGTGACGTTTATTTTATTGCCCATCACGTCATCATTATGGCAAAGATACGCACTTGGCTTTTCGTATGTCATGATTTTGCAAATGTTCAAATACTGCATTTACTTGCTCATATTACATACGTGTGTCATGTACCACTCAGTCGGCTCCGACTCCTGGGGACCCCGAGTGAATGACGCCCACAGTGTCCTGTCCTCACAGCCCTGCTCAGCCCTGGAGGCTCAGCCTGTGGCGTCTTCCACGGAGTCCATCCGGCTCACGTCTGGTCTCCTCTTTTCCCGCTGCCTCTATGTTCCCGGCATTATTGTCTTTCCCAATGAACCTGCCTCCTCACGTGTCTGACAGCTTCAGTCTGTCATTCTGCCCAGGAAGTTTCTGGCTTCATTTGCTCTGAGACCCATCGTTTGTCCCAGGTCTCTGCAGAGCTCTGCTCCACCACGTTAATGAACCAGTTTCCCATCAGCCTCTTCCCTGTCTGGCTCTCGCATCTGCGCGTGGTGACTGAGAGGACGAGGGTTGGACGGCCTCAGCCTCAGTCTCCATGGCACGTCTGTGCTCCTGGTGGCCTTTCCTAACTTCCCACTGCTGCCCTTCCGACCTCCTGGTCTCTCGGCGGCTGCCTGCGCCGGGACCGAGGGTTGGACCGAGGTCAGCGAGAGCGTTACCCATTTCAGTGTCTTCATTATGGATGCTGAAGTTGTGCATTTCTTCTGCAGCCAGGATCTATCTTCCTGTTGGTCAGATGCAGTCCCGCTTTGCCTCTTTCCTCCTTCACTGTCATCAGAAGTCACTTCAAATCATTGCTACTTTCTGCCCGTCAGGTGGCGTCACCTGCAGAGCTTAAGGTATTTCTTCCCCCAATACCTACCCCTCCTCCCTCTGAGTCTACCCAGCTTTTCTATGACTTGTTCTTTGTGCAGACTGAACAAGCAGCCTGACGCCTTTGCTAACAGGAAACCATCCTGTCCCGTGGTTTGTGCCGAGCGCGGCCTCCTGCCCACAGTGCAGGCTTTGCATGAGGACAGCCAGGTGCGGAGTCGCCCGCGTCCCTCGGAGCAGCCCACAGCTTTCCATGGGCGTGCAAAGGCCTCACTTCCTCTATAAACACAGACTGAGCCCCTTCTGAACTTCTCCGAAGCCCGCCAGCGCCCAGTGAGTGTTGGCACTAGGCCTGAGCGCCTCTTGCTTTCCTGAGTCCCCTGAACACCCAGCACTCCCTGCGCCGTGTGAGGTAGAAGCCGCCGCTGTATCCCCTTGAACATCACGTCACCCGCGTGGGAAACGAGAGAGTCCTGTGCCTACTGCACCCCGGTCTCCTTTCCTGCAGACTGGAATCATACTGAATGTTTCCAATCTGCGGGCTCTTTTTTTTCCTATTTGTTGACATGTCCCCATTGGGATTTTGACAGATTTAGTCTCTGTGACTTGAAATAATTCTATCGCTATCTGCTCTACCACTGCCGATTTATTTCTCCCGAATACTTTCAGGGCAGCACTCGCCTCGTTTCTGGACGAACAGGCCCTTCCTCAGAGCATCAGTACCCCGTCTGCGCAGAGCGCCAGTCTCCAGTTTCCGCCTCCTTCCTTTCTCCTGCTCGGGTGGCGCTCTGCCCGTCACTCAGCATCGCTAGTCGGGGTTTGGCCTCCCTCTGCTCCCTGAGTCTTCTGGTAGAGATCTCGGGGTTTTCCCCCTCTGTTCTCTATTTCCTCACACTGACCACTGTCGCGGTTCTCTTTACCTTTTGCAATGACAGTCGTTGAAAACGGCCCTCGGGATTCCAACCCTGCTCGTCGCGTCTCCTGTCCGTCTCCACAGTCGTCGGGTCTCTCCTGTCCTCCACCGCAGGTCTGCTTTCCCTGTCGCCTCGGCACCGTCCTCGGTACTCTTCCCCGGCACTAGTTCTCGCTTCGGCGCAGGGCTGCGCGGGTCCTCGGTCAGCTACGTTTACCCACGGCGATGTGCTTCCATGCGGACGCACGGCCAACAGGAAGGCTGTGCAGGCTACGCCGGGCACCACGATTCCTTCACGCCTTCCTTCAGCCTAACCCTAACGCTCGACGTTGGGGTTCCAGTCGGCGCCCCAGTTCGCGGTCGGCTCCCGGTCCCGTGCGGCGGGGAGAACACAGCTCCCGCCTCCGCTCCACTCTGACTTCCGTGTCGGCCACCCCGCGATGTCCGCTGCGCACTCGTCTGTTTGGCGTTTGTGATACGTTCCTGGCTTTGCAGAAACGCACAGGCCCATCTCCTGCTACATTTCTGACCCTGGTCCAAACTTTCTGGCGACCTGGCAAACTTTCTGGATTCTGCTTTCTACCCTACGTTTGTGCCCCCGTCTCCTGTAATTTTCGGCACGTCTTGTGTTGTTGGTGTGATCAATTTCTTCTTGGATACTTGTGTAAAGCTTTCCATCTCCCCGTCCTTAGCCTCTGCAGTTGGGACACGGACGGGAGGACGGTCACGTCTGACCGGTGCTGCGGTCAGACCTCGCACCGTAGCCCCCACCTGCGCGTGCTAAGTCTTGCCCAGCATTAAAGGGCAAGTTCCTCTGAGCTTGTCGTTTCCAGGGCGGCACACTCTCAGGTGCCTGACGGGGAACGTCCCAGCCAGCCGCTGCGGCTGGCTCACCCCAGCACCGCGATGCGGGGACGGCCCGCCTCTTGTCTTACGGCTCCGGTCCCCTCGGCCATGCTTCTCGCCCCGACGGTAGGTGTGCGCGGCATCGAGCTCTCCCACCTCCGCGCCCGTGAGCCACCCGACGCCCTTCCCTGTCATGCTGAGTAAGGGAATCTTTCCCATGAGAGCATACATTAAAATCACAGTGCAACTTGTGCCTTTTTATGCGTGTCAGTGAGGCTCTTTTCATGAGCAAATTCTCAATTCATTAAAAATAATTCCGCCAAGCTGTGTGCCCTGAGATCATGATGCAGACACTGATAAATGCACTCGCGCATTTTACACCTGACGGTTTAACAGTTTAATTATTTGTTGACTTAAGGCTGCTTGTTCACGATTTAAATCTGATTGCTCGCGCTGATGCCAGGATTAACATCCCCCTGGACCGTCGCAAGCGACCGTGCGTGTGTGAATTTACACATTCTTATTTTCACGTGTTGGGTTGTGATGACTTCCTGGGATTTAAGGAAAGGAATGAAAAATCTAGTATCCCTGGCACAGACCCACGAAAGACAAGGGAAACAGCTGTCGTCTCGTACTTGGGGCTACCCAGGGGGAAGCGAGTCGCGCGCGTACCCTGGCCGTGAAGTCCACAGCGGCACCCCGGTTGAGCAGCAGGGTGGCCACGTTGACGTTCCCGTAGTGGGCGGCGATGTGCAGCGGGGTGAAGCCGCTCTGGGGAGCAAAGAGAAGCACAGTCAGAACAGCGTTCCCTCCACGTGCTGCGGCCACAGGGCTGCGAGGAAAATCACGTGGCAACTGCCCGCCCGACGTGCCCGCAGCACAACCCAGACAGCAGACGCTTCCGCAAGACTGAGGCTTCAGTGCCAGGCGGTGGCAGATGACTCAGTCTATGGACAGGTCACTCAGTCTCCTACATCTCTCGGTGTTGTTTCTAATTACCTTAACAATTTACCTACTTAGGAGATTTGCTATTTATACAAAACTAGGTGTCTTGAGTTCCTTTTTAGCTTTAGAGAAAAATAATATGATTAAACAACATAAGTTTTCAGCCATGAGAATAACATAATCATGAATTAAAATTGTTTTCTCCAGAGAAAAACTAAAAATTAACAGTTTTTAAAAACAAGGAGCAGCAGAGGGAGGCGCTGTGTCTCGGACGTGCTGAGATACGGCGAGGACCCCGCCGTGAAACCCCCACTGGGCATCCACGTGGATATAAAATAAAAAATTCAGTTGAACCTGATTCTGAGTGTTACTTAAACCAAATTTTATCAATAAAATAAGGTTGATATAAAATAAAATAAGCAAGTTAAATCAATTATATGGGCATTATAAACTGTTACTCAGAATGTTTGGAAAATGAGCCTTAAGCTCTTAAATGGAAAAAAAGTGTATTTACTTGCACTTTGCTTTCTGATGAAAAGCAGACAGAGGGTTTGGCGTTTTCACAGCAGGGGCAGTGACTCTGCCACTGAAGCGCAGGGAGCCTGACACCCGCGCCCTGTGGCTCCCATGATCCGTGACTTGATGAAAGGCACAGAAACAAGTGGCCCCGGGCCCCGGGGGTCGGGCCTGCCGCTGCGGGGCTGGCTCTTTAGCGTTGCTCTCCTTTATCTGAAATGAACTCTGATGTGTAGAGCATTGTTTTTTAGGAAATACTAGCTGAGTCACACCCATTACTTCTCTGTTCACTTGACATACAGGCTTTGGCGGCTCTGCTTTTTAAACGGCCTAAATAGGCACTCAGATCCCTCAGGAGGCAGAAACTCCTGTGCTGGCAGCAAATGAGCTGCACATAATTTCTGACTGGAAAGAAGCAAGACACAAAATAGCAAGAATAACTATCCAGGCCTTTGGGGCAGGGTACTTTTATTTTGTGTCTACTTGATACCAAACGTTCATGTCAAACTAGAGGGGGAAAAATCAGTCTACAACCTGCCTGTGATTGTATAAAATGCCAAATTTTTCTAATTTAAGAAATAATTGACCGTATGTTTTCCATTTTTATATTCATATTTCCTGTCACCCAGACATATCCTGAAAGTGCATCTATTATTCAAGTTACATCATAATTACAGAAAAACATAGTGATTGCTGGTAAACCTATCTCAAATTACTCAAATAAAATAATATTATTTTTCTTATTTGCAAAATTAAGCCAACGTATTGTGTCAGGCAGCCTCACTGCCTGCTGGGGTGGTGCCTGGCCTGTGACTGCCTGGGGGAAGCATCCCTGAGCAGCGGGAGCTGGGGACTCGCGCCCCTCCGACGATCCTCCATGGAAGGGTTCCCGCTTTGTTACTCAGTGGTCCTCAAAAAATATTTCTACCTCAGTATGAATCTACCCAAACTGCTGCATTTAGCACAATGTTTAGAGCCAATATTGTTTTTAAAAAAGTATCTTAAACAATCACCAAAATTCACCTAAGAAGTTAAAGGTATTAAAACCAGTAATTGAGATATCGATCTGGATGGCTCCAGCCTTGAGCACCTTCACCGAGCAGGTGGCCTGCTTCTGGTTGTTTTTTAAATCTCTGACCTAAGTTTCATGCACAGAGGTGGAACAGGGGAAATGATATGAATAATCCAAGCATATGTACATCTCAGTGGGTAAATTTGTTAAAAAGCAAGGTATTAGACTTAGAAATGTACTACTCTCAGTAAATGCTAAGTGTGAATGCTGGGCCCACCACCCAGTGCTCGTGAGAGGTCAGTCTCAGTGACAGGCAACCTATAGAAACAGTCACCGGCCGTTGAGTGCAGGTTAATGTTTGTCACATACTTTCCACAATGCTTGTCAGGGCCTCTCTGACAAGGGGTCACAGTCAAGGAGAGGCCACTACACGCGCACTGAACTGACAGGCTTCTGACCTAACGTTCGTATCGATTGATGTGACTTAATGTGGACTGTGGAAAACAGATGCTCTCATGACAAGTACTGTAAGATGCACGCTCCGCTCAGGATACGGTCAACGCCATCACTGCTTCTACACAACCGTAAATTCCACGCCTGGTAAAAACCCATTACAAGGGGACCCGCAATTAGACGAGAGAATGAAGCAGGGGCCGAGGAACCGCCTTAGCTTTCGCTTTCTAAACTCTACCGAGGACCCTCATGAAGAGGGGGCACGTCTCTCATCGCAAGACGCAGCGTGGGGCGCACTCGCTAGGATGCGTCCTGAGGAAGCCTTCTGTCCACGCTCCGCTTGAATAAGCTGTGGAGACCGTTTCACTGACCAACATGTGACCTTCCAGTTCCTGAGTCATCCACTTCCCTTAAGTATGGGAAAAGTTCCCAAATTAATTTCCTAATAACTGAAGTCCCAGCCATTGGTATAAATTAGTCAGCAAAAAGGAAACGAAAGCAAGGCAAGTGCCGGCGCAAAGCATACTGTACCTCGGTCGTCCTGTTCACCATCATCTGAAGCGGTGGGGGTGGGGGAGAGAGGGCAGATGTTAGCACGCCGCAGGTCAGCACAGTCCCCGCGGCGCCGGCCTCGCGGTCCCCACGCCGGGCGCCGACAGCGAAGCACCACAACGCTACGGCGCGGGCTCGTCTAACGCTTTCTCTTTCTTTCTTTCTTTTCTCTCTTTCTCTCTTTCTTTCTCCTTTCTTCCCTTCCTTCCCTTCCTTCCCTTCCTTCCCTTCCTTCCCTTCCTTCCTTCCTTCTTACCAGAAATGGAATAAATAGCACATTTCCAAAAAGCTAAACCTCGTCTTTTAAAAAACATTATCTTTTTCTGTTACTGTACCAGATGGACAGTCCCCTTGCTTCTGAAATACCCCTGAAAGTATTTATCCCTCCCCACGTGCTGAGTGGCTCTGCGTCACCGCAGGCCTGCTTCCCTCCTTCCCGGGACTAGCCGGAGCCCCGTCCACGCGCGCGTGGGCCTCTACCTTGGACTGCACGTCCGCATTGTGGTCGCTCTGCAGCAGGAGGGCGGCCGACTTGGTGTCGTCCTTCCTGGCCGCGATGTGCAGGGCAGGCAGCCTCACCCTGCCCTTGGTGTCATTTTCTAGGAGGATCGCCACGGCCTGGTCGTGTCCTTGCTGCAGCGCCACCGCCAGGGGTGTGAAGCCATCCTGGGGAGGTGGAAAGATCTCCTTGAGCTTTGGAACCGTGGGATTAAAGCAGTGATTACTATGCATGCGAGCATAACCCATGGACAAGCACAGTGCGGCGAAGGCCTGGGGGGAGCAGGGAGAGGGGCCCATGGGGGGAAAGTGGGCAGCTACAATGCTGTGAGCAATTAAGATATATTGAAAAAAATAAAACAAAAAATAAATAATTATTAGATTGACAAGCAGAGCAAAAGGCCTGAATCGTCTCAGAAGATGAGACCAGATTAGAACCAGACCTGCCTGCAGGGGGACCGGCCGCCTCATCGCCATCAGGGGTGCGAGCGTTCCCAGCCGGCGGCGGACGCTGCCAAGGTCTCCCTCTGTCAGGCGCCAATACCTGCTTCCCAGAGCCCGGTGCCCCTACGCGGGGTGCCGACCACTTGCCAACGGCACGTACCTCGCTATGTAACGCCTGCCTCTGCCTTCATCGCAGTCTTTGTGTTCAAGTCTATTCTGTCTGATACAAGTACAGCCACCCCAGCTTTCCTTTGGTTCCCACGTGCATGAACGACCTTTTCCCATCCTAACTGAAGAGCAGTGATTTTCAACCTCTTCCATCTCATGGCATGTAAACCAATGACTGAAATTCTGCGGCACACCAAAAAATATACTTTTTTGCCGATCTGACCAAAAAAACCCACATGATTTTGATTCACTCACACTGGGCGGCTATCGTGCTGGCTGCTGTCATTTTTTTTTATTTGACCGTCTAAGAGAAAGGAGGTCAGGTATCGCATGTGTTAAACCCCCTCGGGCACACGGCTGAAAACCGCTGCTGTAGACACCTGTGGAAACCATCTTCCTCGCGCGCATCCGACCATGTGTGCACTACCACAGGAAGGAGGGGACCTCAGCCCGGCCGGCGTGGCTCAGCGGCTGAGCATCGGCCTGGGACCCAGGCGATCGGGGTTCGATTCCCGGTCAGGGCACATGCCCGGGCTGCGGGCTCGATCAATGACTCTCATCATTGATGTTTCTCTCTCTGTCTCCCTCTCCTTTCCTCTCTCTGAAATCAATAAAGATATATCCAAAAAAAATTTTTTTAAAAGAAAAAAAAAAAGCAGGGGACCTTGGATAAGCACAGCTCTGAACAGGATGGAAGAGGAAGCACAAAGCGCTGTAGGATGAAACGCCGTGGCCTGAGTGCGGAGCCGTGCGGCCCAAAGGGGGCACGAGGAGGAAAGCGCAGCTGACGGCGGAGGCGTGATTTCACGAGAATGGAGCGTCACGAATCCCAAATCCAGCCACAAGCTCCCCGCACCGCGGGCGCAGGTCCCGCCGTCAAGGTCACCGCTCCCGTCGCGGCGGCGGCCCACCCGCCCGCACAGCTCAGACAGGCAAAGACGGCCTGTGCGGCGACAGAAAGACTGCGGACCCTGCGATCAAAGAACTGGGCGGGAAGGGCTGACCAGCTCACCTCGGTCGCAGTGCTCTGATTAGCACCATTTTCCAGCAGGTATTTTACAACGTCGATGTGGTTCTCTTGGGCAGCCATGTATAAAGGAGTGAAGCCATTCTGGGGACAAACGATAAAAAAGACGTCTGTCATTCGTGACGCCTACACCAGGGAAGAACTCCAGGCGAGGGGAGAGAGGCCCGTGGGTGAACGGGATGGTGAGCGCGCACCGCACCCTCACGGTGGGCAGTGAACGTGCTGCTGCAGAGCCGGACAAGCGCAGGGGCACCACCGGCCACCGCGATTCCTGCAGAGCCGCGAGCAGGCACCTGGGGGACGCCTCCCGCCTCCCGTCTTCCTCTCGGTACCCGAGACGCACCTTCCTCACCTCCCAACACTTGTTAAACCAAAGATACTAAGTATCTTACTACCGACATATCCTGTGATACACAGAATTCTCCACGTGGTAAACATATAAAATAGTCTTTACATACTCACTTCTGTATCCACCAATCCGTAAGCTATTTAAACAGACCACCGTTATCTTGAATGCGCGCGGTTTGGTTATTACTGAACACGCGTCGGAGCCAATGTGAGAAAGCATCTTGAAAAATTTCTTTCAGATCTAAAAATGTTTTAAAAATAATTCAGAGATCTCTTGGCCAGACAGACAACATAGGAAACGGCGCTTCATGCGCAGGGCGCGAGCCCCGCGGAACACGTGCCCTGGGTGACCCCCAGNTTTTTTAAAAGAAAAAAAAAAAGCAGGGGACCTTGGATAAGCACAGCTCTGAACAGGATGGAAGAGGAAGCACAAAGCGCTGTAGGATGAAACGCCGTGGCCTGAGTGCGGAGCCGTGCGGCCCAAAGGGGGCACGAGGAGGAAAGCGCAGCTGACGGCGGAGGCGTGATTTCACGAGAATGGAGCGTCACGAATCCCAAATCCAGCCACAAGCTCCCCGCACCGCGGGCGCAGGTCCCGCCGTCAAGGTCACCGCTCCCGTCGCGGCGGCGGCCCACCCGCCCGCACAGCTCAGACAGGCAAAGACGGCCTGTGCGGCGACAGAAAGACTGCGGACCCTGCGATCAAAGAACTGGGCGGGAAGGGCTGACCAGCTCACCTCGGTCGCAGTGCTCTGATTAGCACCATTTTCCAGCAGGTATTTTACAACGTCGATGTGGTTCTCTTGGGCAGCCATGTATAAAGGAGTGAAGCCATTCTGGGGACAAACGATAAAAAAGACGTCTGTCATTCGTGACGCCTACACCAGGGAAGAACTCCAGGCGAGGGGAGAGAGGCCCGTGGGTGAACGGGATGGTGAGCGCGCACCGCACCCTCACGGTGGGCAGTGAACGTGCTGCTGCAGAGCCGGACAAGCGCAGGGGCACCACCGGCCACCGCGATTCCTGCAGAGCCGCGAGCAGGCACCTGGGGGACGCCTCCCGCCTCCCGTCTTCCTCTCGGTACCCGAGACGCACCTTCCTCACCTCCCAACACTTGTTAAACCAAAGATACTAAGTATCTTACTACCGACATATCCTGTGATACACAGAATTCTCCACGTGGTAAACATATAAAATAGTCTTTACATACTCACTTCTGTATCCACCAATCCGTAAGCTATTTAAACAGACCACCGTTATCTTGAATGCGCGCGGTTTGGTTATTACTGAACACGCGTCGGAGCCAATGTGAGAAAGCATCTTGAAAAATTTCTTTCAGATCTAAAAATGTTTTAAAAATAATTCAGAGATCTCTTGGCCAGACAGACAACATAGGAAACGGCGCTTCATGCGCAGGGCGCGAGCCCCGCGGAACACGTGCCCTGGGTGACCCCCAGCCACGGTCAAGCTGGGCTGGGAGTGGAAACGCCACGGAGACGTTCAGTGGGGCGCAAATTCACTTCTCCGTGCACACGCACGGTCACTTTGCCTGCTCTTACTTGTAAGTGTGTCTCAGTGATGAGACGAAGCTGCCTCATTTCCTAGATGAAAACGCCGCAGCTAAAAGGCAACATCCCTTCACGGCTGAGGAAGTTTAACCCGGAGACTGAGTGGACACACGCACAGCAGCCAGCGGAGCCTGAGGCAGAGCCGGCGAGCGGGCGCCGCAGGTGCAGACGCCGGGCAGGCTGCCCGTCTGTCCTCTTCCCCCGGCCACGACAGGGCGACCCTCTCCGAGAGGCCTCGTGCAGCACCCTCCACGATGCTCAGCACATAGTAGGCGTTCAGTAAGTACCTGCTCCTGTGAGGTGGTTGTGTGAGTAAAGAGCAGACTAGGATCCAGTTCCTTGTACGCCTGCAGTGATTTTTAAACACGTCTTCAAATTCTTTGACACTCTTCCCTTCAAAGGGAGGAGCCCAATTCCCTCGCCTCAACCGCGGGCCAGCCTGGCCCTCCGGTCCCTGCACTGAGGGGGGCGGGGGCCAGGCTTAGGCCTCCGCCCGCCTGGCTCTCTCAGCTCAGAACAGAGCCAGGTCGATAGGACTTCCACCACCCAGCAGCACCAACGTGCCACCTGTGTGAGGAATACCTGGGCGTGGATCCTTCAGCCCAGGAAAGCCCGGTGGCGTTCAGCCCGGGCAGCACCTTCACTAACCACAGGAGTGACTCGAAGCCACCCTTGCACTGCGAGCCCTGCTGAGTGAGGCCTGCTGCACAGGACCTGTGACAATAATAATGCTCACTGCTGCTTTAAACCACGCGTTTTGAGATCACTTGTTCTGCAGCAACGGCTGGCTGATGCAACGTCCAGCAAGGTCACCCCTGGCCTGGCTACGGCCTCCCTGGCCAGGCAAACTCCTCGGCACTTGCCTATGCCTTTCTCTTCAGGAAAGGAACTCATGTCCTAGGCTGATACTTTCAGATTTCCTCCTAGTCCTATAACTCTCTTCAAACACCATGTAACCTAGAAACTCTACAGATAAAGTATTAGACACAGGGGCTGTTGGATGCTGAGTTGTAACTGTTCCGCACAGTCCTCCCTGGCCCCGACCCACCAGGGGCCAGGTGGGGTCCTCTGGGAGAGTGGAGGGTCTTATGTCACCAGTCACCCTTCTTGGTGGCCTTTGCAATGGAAACAGACTGAGGAGGAATGAATGAAGTGTTTGCTTAGGTGAAGCAACCCAAGTCTACGAGAGTTTGAAATCACAGCTGTGAATCTTTACAACACCGTTTCCACCTGCCATCTGACAGTGTACTAAGAGTGTTGCATATACTCTCAGCACCTCCTGCAAAATTCACCTACAAATTACACAACCAGTTCCGACAGGAAAAAACGGGAATGCATGCTGATAGCTCTGGGTTTGAACCTCACCAAAGGAGAGTTTCCCTTCTGAGAAAGGCTGGTGTTCCAGGAAGGTCAGTGCCGAGAGTCAGGTTTTCCCGAGCAGAATCCCTCGCAGGCCCGGCACAGCGGTCGGCATGGCGGGGAAGGGTCGCTTCCCCCGTCCCAGGTGCCATGGTCCTCGCCGAACTGGCCTCTGAGAAGCTCCCCAAATTACCACCCAGCTTTAAAGTCAGGATGATTCAAATTACTTCCCTAAATACATCATAAATGCACAGCTGCAAAGGATGTAAAAGCCCAACGGGTGCTAATTATAGTCACAAAAATAAAGACTATTCTGGGGGCTGCGGGTGTCTTAGGGCAAAGGAACACAAGGTACAATTGTGCACTTGGCTTGGCAGTTAAGAAGGCATTTTATTAATTAAAATGCCACACAGGCTCTCTCAGAGGATGTGAATTTGACAATTCCATACTCAGTTATGACGTTACAAATTATTTTAACCGCTTCTCCTCTCCAAAGGTCCCCTTCAAAGAATTACAGCTATGCCATCGCTTGGCATTAAAACGATTAATGTTCTAAATGTTTCTAGGAGACAGAACTTTACGGAGTGTTTACCAGGTCCTCTTGTTTCATTCACAACTCCGCCATCTGGGACCCTGAACAGGTAAGACTGTCGGCATTCACCCTCCGGCACACGCACATGAGGTGTGATCAAGGCCTGAACCCCGAAGGACTCCAAGCTCAGTGCTCCTTTCACTGCCTCAAGGACAACAGGCTCTGATCCAGGAGTCAGACCACGAGCCTCGGTTTCCACCAGAGGTGAGCAGGGGCTCTGACCAGTGACAGCAATGGGGCTGCATGGCCAGCTGGATGGCCAACGTCCCCAGTTGTCTTGGACATGAGAATTCCTCCAGTTTTTATTCCCAGTGGGTAAGACACTGAGGGTGGCGGTGGCGAGGAGAGAGAAGGCTACACTCTCGCTATTTATGATTTAACCCTAACAGCCCAGTGAACCCAGTGATGTGTCTATACGACTCAAGGATTAAGAGGCCACTTAAAACGTGGAGCGGGGATCTGCACCCCCTTCCTGCTACGCTAGTCTGCCATGAGCTTTAGCAGCAAATGTGACAGTATTTTGTCATGTCTGCTATTGCCGGCCATCGGAAACACCACTGAAAATACTATAGTCCCACCTCGTCTACCATAATCCCTGCTGTCAGCTCCTCGTGGACAAATCACGAGAAAACACGTGGCCTATTTTCCATATTCCACGTTACTCCAGTGCGGCCTGTTCATCAGCCTGCACTGATCTTCCTGAACAACCGGAGCTGGCCTCACTTGTTCGAAAGTTGCATCCAGGGACACCAAGAAGTCCCTTTTTATTTATCCAAGTAGGAGGCAGGTTTCTCTTGTTTGCAATGGAGGCGTCCTAACTGAATAGCCGTCCCGCTGAAATACACCGTACACTATCACAATCAGTTTGAAATAAAGCATTTTCCAGGAAACATGATATATCACCCAGTGACTCACAGAAACAAAAGTATTAAAAGCAGAATGTATTATTATTGTTTTAGAAATATATTATTCAGTAATCCTGAGACAGTAATCTGCAGAAAAAACATGAAATAGATTTTTAAGAATGAGGTTAAGCCCGGCAGGCGTGGCTCAGCGGTTGAGCATCCACCTATATGACCCAGGAGATCGAGGTTCGATTCCCGGTCAGGGCACATGCCCGGGCTGCGGGCTCCATCCCCAGCAGGGGCGTGCAGGAGGCAGCTGACCAATGACTCTCTCATCATTGATGTTTCTCTCTCTCTCTCCCTCTCCCCCTCTCCTTTCCTCTCTGAAGTCAATAAAAATATATTTTAAAATAAAATGAGATTAAACCACAATAAAGCAGGTGGATCATTTTCAGAGAATATATTTGTTCTCCTAAGTGGTGAGGATTTAAAATAGTTTTTTCTGTGTGAAAGGCAAATACAAATAAGGTATGAAGTGGAAGGGGCCCTTCCACTGTTATTTTGCACATATAATGCTAACTTTTATTTAAGTTAATAGAAATGGCAAGTTCACCTATCCCTGATAAAAGTTATCACATAAAATTTCATCATAATCTATATAAATGCCTTTATAGTGTATATGTAATAAAAATTTTAAAAATAAAACTAAAATTAAGTTTGCAGATGCCATGCCCTGATTACTCTCCACAGAAGCAGTGGAAATGTCTCAATGTCAGAGATAAAACTTTAACATAAGGTTAAGAATATTTTAATATTGAAATTGAATGGAAATTAATTCCCTGATATGTTTTCTTTAAATAAATTTTTCTAGATTTTCAAATTGCTGAACAACATATATTACTAGGTTCAGATCTTTAGCATATAATACTGTTTGTTAGGTATATATAGCAAGTGCTTTAAAAATGTGGATTTGGGGCAACTTTATAAATGACCCAGTAGCTTAGAAGTGAGGGGAAATGTGTTACCTCCCAGAGCAAATGCTGGCTGCTGCAGACAGGTCCATGATATTAAGAAAATTAAGTCAACAACAATCACTGTGGGTGCAGTGCAGTAAAACTCATAAACCTGAAATATCTGTTTTGAATTAAGCCATAGTAATAATTTAATTCCTTACTGTTTTATTTTGAGGTTGAGTAACTACAATAAGGATCAAAGAATTTTGACTCTCCAGGGTAAAATAGTCAAAATAAGCTGTAACTTTTACTTCTCCCACATTATACCAAAACATATTTTTAGTCAATGACTACCAGATCGGTTTCTTATTGCTATCCAACTGTCTCTGAGAAAATAAAATGCTGGTCCAAGCCTTTCAAAACACACCCAACTCGAATGGCTCACCTGGACCACCTCATCTAGAGCCACATTCCCTAAGGCCCGACTGACAGCCACGCCGCACGGCCGGGGCTGTGTGG